TGTGTATGTGTATAGGTAGAATTATATATATGTGGGAGGGAGGAAGAGAGAAAATGTGAGAGAGAGAGAGATGTATGTATTTTTTTTTTTATATATTTATTTGTGTGTGTGTATGTATATCAGGTGTCAATGCTTGAAATTTGTGTGTGTGTGTATATATATATATATATATATATATATATATATATATATATATATATATATATATATATATATATATATATATATATATATATATATATATATATATATATATATATATATATATATATATATATATATATATATATATATATATATATATATATATATATATATACATATATATATATATATATATATATATATATATATATATATATATATATATGTTTTCATGACTTTTCTTTGTTGTTTAAAAGAGCTATTCACTACGCCACTACAAGTTCTTTAGCAAACAGTTTTTTAAGTCTTTTTATCCAATTTTGTTTTTTGTGTATTTTTTACAGACTAAAAGTAATCAGCTTTGTTTCTTTAGGTCTGTAGGGAAGACTCAAATGAACGAGCAGTCTTCTCGAAGCCATTTTGTTTCACTTTGAGGATCCTCGGTATCAACGAGGTATTTATTATTGCTTTATATTACTTGTACTTTACTATCTTGTCATCTTGCTAACTGTGGTTTGATTGTGGTTGGTTCAGAGCACTGATCAACAAGTTCAAGGCGTGCTAAATTTAATCGACCTTGCGGGTAGTGAGCGTCTTTCCAAGAGTGGGTCAACCGGCGATCGGCTGAAAGAAACTCAGGTAACAAAAAACAAGAAGTCTGTCTTGGTAAATAACCGGAGTTTTTTATTCTTACATTTGTTCTGATTTTATTGCGTTTTCATCTATATAACTAAACAGGCCATCAACAAAAGTTTGTCGTCATTGAGTGATGTCATATTTGCTTTGGCGAAGAAAGACGAGCACATACCATTTAGAAACTCCAAGCTAACGTATCTTCTTCAGGTATTTGTTCAATCTTTCTACCATTTCAAATCAAGATTCATGGCCTTCTTGCTTTCTGATCGATCAAACAATGGCTTTATCGTTTCTCCTAATCAATTTGCGTATTACTTACTTTTTTTTTTTTTTGTAATTATTTCTTACACGTTCTCTCTCTCTCTTGCTACTCATTTAATGTACAGCCTTGCTTAGGCGGGGATTCAAAGACATTGATGTTTGTCAATGTATCACCGGACCCTTCATCAGTCGGTGAATCACTTTGTTCACTGCGATTTGCAGCGAGGGTCAATGCATGTGAAATTGGAGTTCCGAGGCGTCAAACCAATCTAAGAACAACCGATTCTCGTCTGAGCATTGGCTAAGTTTCTTCCTAATTTAGTTCTTGTTTTTTTTAGGAAAGTGTGTTGCTTTGTATTTCCTTGTGGCATTTGATTTCGAAACGATGTAACGGAAAAAAAAGGCACGTCTTTTGATCTAACCACCCCCCACACTTATTTTGCTTGTAATTTGCTGCTGCATAGTTGAAGATAATCATGGCTTTGTATCATTATATTCTAACAGATGGCTTCTGTGCCCTTTTGCCATTGATGTATGGTATTTATCAAGATTTCTTATTTTCTTTTTCTTTTTTATTATTATTTATTATTTTTTTAATATAATAATAATAGGGCCAAATTCATATCTATAACCACAATTTTTGCCATTGATGTATGGTTTATCCTTATTTGTTACTGGAATTTCTGGAGCAGATAATCTTATAAGTATGTTGAAGATATTTTAAATATTTATTGATATTAACAGTTAGGGGCAATTATAGAGGTGTAAATCGGATGAATCGGATTGGAATTCATCCGTTCGAAAGCAAAAAACTAGTTTCAATTCCGTTCCAAAAGAACCCCGAAACCGGAATTTCGGAAATTGCAACATAAAAACTTGTTCCAAAATCGGAAATTTTTTGGCCAGAATCGGTGGAAATCGGAAATTTCCAAATTTTCGGATTTTTTTTCCGGAACTTAAATTGGATCAGAAATAGGAATCTCATATATATTCCAATTCTGATCCAAATATTTTCGGAAAAATCAGAAATCGGATTTTTGGATTTCAGATTAAAACGAGCGGAAATCGGAAATTTTGTCATTAACAATATATGTGAGAATATATGTGGCTTTGAGGGAGTACCCTACTTTGATCCAATCTTATTTCATAAACTGATGGAATACAATACTTCAACAATAAAAACAAATCTTTTTTACATCTTTGTCATAATTAAATTAATTCTAACATTCTTGATTCTCACACTCACACACACACATATATATATATATATTACATATATATAACTTATTACAAGGAAAATAAAAATAAAAAATCATAAGAACAAATGGCTGGTCACAAATCAGAATCCAGAGTTTCCAAAGTAGACTCAGAAACAACATGGGATTTGTTCTTATCTCAAGCAACAAATCAAGCTCGTCCTGTAATTTTCTTTATACTTATAATCTTTATTTATTTATTTTAATTAATTAATAAATTTATTTATTTGTTTATGAATGCATGCATATATATAGGTTGTGGTGCATTTTACGGCTTCGTGGTGCATGCCGTCGGTAGTTATGGAGCCGTTTGTCGACGAGCTCGCGTCGATCCACCACGACATTTTGTTTCTGCTGGTTGTTGTTGATGAGGTTAAGGTAATTAATTAAGCTTCACTAATTAAGTACATTATAATAATTTTTAATTAATTAATTAATTAATTAATGGTAATTGTACTTTTTATGATTTAATTAATTAGGAGGTGGCGTCGAAGATGGAGATTAAGGCGATGCCAACGTTTGTGTTGATGAAGGATGGAGTTGTGGTTGATAAATTAATCGGTGCTAATCCAGATGAAGTTAACAAGAGGGTTGGAGGCCTAATTAATTAACTATTAATTTTTTTTACTTTTTTTATTTATTTTTTATTTTTTTATATGTATTGGTTATTATATTTTTTTGCAGTAATTTAATTTATAATATATGCCTTTTCTTATATATATGTGCTTACTTCTGTAAAAAGTAGGGGTTTAAACGAGCCGAGCTCAAGTCGAGTTTGGTTGTTTTGGCGAGCTAATTAAGCGAACCAAGTTTGTCGAGCTCGAGTTTAAGCTGAGCTATTATGTTTATTATTATTATTATTTTTTTATTTTTATTAATATTATTAAAGTTTTATTATTATAAAATTGAAAAAAATGACCTGTAATTTATTTTGTAATTACTTATATGAATTAATTATTTAAAAAATAATATAAAAAAAATTAACAAAACCTTGCGAGCCAGCTCGCGAGCTCAAGAACAACTAAGAGGGAGCTCGAGCTCGAAAAATTCGAGCTCGAACTTTTATCGAGGCAGCTCAATTCATTTACACTAATAGTGAAAACAATAATGGGTTCCACGAATAATTAGTGATGAAATCAAAAAGGGTTACATATAAAAAAGACAAAATTGGTGAAGAAAAACAATGAATTAAAAAATGCACATAATTAAAAAGAAAAGTAAAAAAGGGCAATAAGCTTTGGTATTAGCCATACATAGTGCTAACAAAAGAAAGAAGAAACTAAGTGAAAGATTATGACTAAGCGTTTACAAGTGGTGGATGCTTTATTCAACTCAATTAGGCCTCGTTTTTTTAATGTTTTTGATGATGTAATTAGGGTATGTTTGATTATGTTTATTTTAAACGGTTGATAAATTCTGACGTATGTAAAGTTGTTTTAAGAGTTGATAATCATCTTATTTTTATGATTAATTTTTAAAGTATTTAGATTAGGGTTGGACATAGGTCGGGTCGGCCGATCGGCTAATTACCTACCCGACTCGAACACCCGATTTTGTTGTATATTGAAAATTATTATTGGTCCGACCACTATGAATCGGATAATGGTTGACAACCGACTTTGTAGGATAAATAATGGGTTGGTTGCAGGTATTATCGGCCATTTAATTATTATTTTTTGTTATTTTTTTAATAATTATTTGAATTGGGATAAGTGGATTTTTTTGTAATTTCAGAGCTTAGATCAAACGGCGTTAATGTCAAATATTTGACAACTAACAGCGAGGGCCACATTGAGACAAATTTTCAAGTACAAGGGGGCAAATCGATGCGATCGAGAGTAGAAGGGGGTAAAGTGATACCGAGCCAAAGATGGAAAGTGGAATTTACCTTATTTTTTTTAAGAAAATTAAGATTTTTTTTATAAAATTATTAAACACTTTGGAAGAGCTTATAAGTTATAAGCTTTTAAACATCTTATAACCTCTAAACAACGAAAAAACCAAACACCCTCCAATGTGTTTGACTAAGCTTATAAGCTACTAAAAAAAACTTATAAGTTCTTCCAACGTGTTTAGTAAAAAAAACAAAAAAGAAAAACACTCATAAACTCAAAAAATAAGTTGGTGAAGAACTTTTAATATGTTTTTTTTAAGTACTTTTGCACTATCTTTTCATTTAAAATCTTATAATGAGTAAAATAACTTATAAGCTCATTATCCATACACTTTAAAAATTAATTCAAAATATGACATAATATCTTATCAGTTATCCGAACTAAAAACAACTTATCAGACATAATAGATTATCAGCTTTTTAAAACAAGTTTATCCAAACGGGATTAGAATCGTACACTATTCCAGTATTGAATATATATTTTCTCATGTTTCTTCCTTCTCTAATTATTGAACCATTATAAAAATACAAATCATCTGATTCCAACTCTAATTACTAAATAGATAATCTAATCTAATTAGGCGCCACACACACTGACACACACACACATATATATATATATATATATATATATATATATATATATATATATAAAAGTGAAATCAAGAGTTGAGTTTAGCACGATGAGTGCTAGAGATTCCAACTTTTTATTTTATTTTATGAATATATATTTATTTTGTGATGAAGATTCCAATAGAGAATTGAATTCAATGGATTCAAGAAAAGGAATCTTGAGTCAAATATTAATTTGATGCCTTCTTGCTTATTGGCTCTATTTAATCTATGTATTAAACAAATAAATAAATATTAACTAAATAAAAAACACTATTTATTAGTAGTAAACTTATCCAAAAGACCCAAAATAGTTTAATGAATAAGTTCTTATGGCTAAACTTATTTGAAACAGCTGATAAGCTGTAACATAGGATAAACTGTTTTGAGAGGTAGAAAGCAATATACGCCTTACTTTTAGAAGTAATCTTTAAATTGTTTGGTAATGTGCTTATAAGTTATTTCCTTTTACTTATTATAAGATCTTAAATAAGAATGTCATTTGAAAAAAAAATCATAAAAGCTATTCAATAACTTATTTTTGAATTTTTAAGGCATGTTTAAAAAAAATTACCAAATAATTCGAAAGAGTTTATAATCTCTTTTTAACAGTTTATAAGCTATGTCAAACGTCCTCTGAATCATACTGGTTTGGTAGTTAAGATTAGTTATGATGAATTCAGTAATTGAACTTCATTTGATATTGCTCGATTAATTCGATTACTATTTGGGACGACCTTCGTTTTTTAATGGTTTTTTTTTCCTTCAAATAAATGATTTTAATGATTATTTGTTGAAATCTAAAATTTTGGGAATTCAATTCTATGGCAGCTAGGAAAACCGGACCTATCAAGTTGGAATTTGAATTTTCCTAAATATTATTATTATTATTATTATTATTATTATTATTATTATTATTATTATTATTATTATTATTATTATTATTATTATTATTATTAAACAATGACCGTTCATTGTCAATCGTATTATCTAATAATTATCGACCAATGGAAACTGAACACGTCAGTTTTCTGTGAGCAATAATATTGGGTGGATAAAGATGATGCGTAGCTACCATAGATCGAACCATATATACCATTCCTTTTCCAATCTTTTTACTACCTTTTTTAGCTTTTTCAAGATTGTGCAATTTATCATTATTTTATTTTATTTTATTTTATATTTTCTTTTTTGAAAGATTATATATTTTATTTTATTTTATATCTTTAATTGGATGCTTCACTCAAATTGAGTAATTTTTCATACATTGTGATAATTTTATATTGTTTTGTGCGGGCATTCTGTGTGGTGATATGTTCGGTCCCAATCGGAATTTCTAGATATCGATACTTACTTTATTTTACATCAGAGGTGAAAATCAGATGAAACAAGTCAAAATCAAACTCATTGATTTTTTTATTATTTTATTTTCAGTTTTTATTTATTTTAGTAGTAAATATATATTTTTTTTCATTTTAGAATAAAACTTAAACTTAAAAAAAAAAATACAATTTGCTATAGTATTAAATATATAATTATATACCGAAATTCTGTAAGAAAAAAAAGGGTAAATAACACTTAACCCCCTACGGTTTGAGTTATCTGCACATGACCCTCTTATACTTTTAATATAAGTACATTATCCCCTGTAGTTTAAATTTTTTGCACATGACCATCGTATATTTTTAATGTAAGTACATAATCCCCCTGTCGTATTCCACTTGATAAATAATCATGTTTATTAAGAAGATAATTTTTTTGAAAGTACAAGAGGATTATTTATTTATTTTTTTTAATAAAATAATTCCCTCGTACAAGGGGATTATTTGCTTATAATAAAATACACGGGGTTATGTGCACAAAATTCAAACTACAGAGGAGGTAAGTGATATTTATCCTAAAAAGTAATACAATTATGGAATTAAATAAATATTTTAAGATAAGGCCCAATAACAAAAATGGGCTTATTTCTCAATCATTGACTTTGAAAAGAAAAGCCTTTATAATGGTGGCCCAGTTGATATGTACCGATATTAGTGCGTCACACTGTCGCGTGTTCTTGCGGAGAATCTTTTTTATTATTTTATGATTATTTTTATTTATTTATTTTATTTATTATTAATAATATTATTATTTTACTAATATATGCCCAAATCCATTTGCATCAGACACCAACAAATTTCACCCAAAAATAATTGTTTATTTCTTAATAACGAAAATGCCCCTCCGGAATCCCTTTTCCCCCTTTCAATTCACGTGAATTCCAATTCTCTCTCTCTCCCCCAAATTCGATTAAATTGGGGAAAAAGGAAATTATAGATCAATCGCCGCTTTCCTTTGTTGAATTTTCGATTGAATTTTTTGTTTTTTTTTTCAGAACGCCGGAAAACCGTTTTCGCCTTTTTTTTCCGGCATCTGATCGGAAATGGTTACCCCGGAGAACACGAATTGGCTGTACGATTACGGGTTCGAGGATATTACAGTTCCCGTCGGCAATTTGTCTTCGCCTAGCCCTGGATTTTCGTGGCCCGTTCAGCAACCCTTGAATGGCGGCTCATCAAATGCTAGGTACTGTTTGCAGCTCTCTATTTTTTATTTTTTTTTAATTATTTTGTGTGTGTAAAGCTTTGGGCTTTTGGTTGTTGACTTGGTTGTTCTAGTAAATTCATAAAGTTTGTTTTTTTTTTGAGCTTTTGATGTGTTGGTTTGTTTCTTTTCTGCTATTGATTTTTGTAATTTGGGTGATTAACATGTTTGATTTTGATGTGTTTTAGGGTTTTCTGCTATTGATTTTTGTAATTTGGGTGATTAACATGTTTGATTTTGATGTGTTTTAGGGTTTTCTGCTATTGATTTTTGTAATTTTGGTGATTAAAATGTTTGATTTTGATGTGTTTTAGGGCTTTCTGCTATTGATTTTTTGTAATTTGTGGTTTTGATGGGTATTTATTTTGGGGCTTTTTGTAATTTTAATATCTATTTCAATTTGTGCCTAGATTTGTTATTTGACCAGTTTTATTTTAGATTATTAGATAAAATTCACATCTCCCCTTCGAATTAGCCGTCAGAATGACTATGATCCGCACAATTGCGAATTATCTTATTTAGCTCCCTTTAGATTCCAAAAAATATCGATTTGATTTCCGACAAGAGCTTTCGATAATGGTTTTGTGAAGAAGCAAAATGCTATAAATTGATATTGAAACTACTCATTTAACCAATTTAGTGGCTCGTTTCTTTATTGTCGTAGTTCAAGTCTAATTTTGATAGTGTATAAGAAGCTTTACTCTTCGAGTTGATGGAAATATGCAAAAGCAACTCATTGAATTTTATGGTTTTGATTGTTCTCGAATATAAAACTACAATGCATATATATGCTCTTTTGTTTAATTTTTTTCCGTAATGATAAATGGGGATTTTAATAGTTTGAGGGTTTAGGGGAAACAGATGATTGTTGAATGGGTTAATTTGCAGGGGTGTATCGTTTATTGGGTGTACTTGGTATTTCAAGTATTTCTTAACATAGCTACTGCGTATTTTGAATGATTCGATGTTCTAATTTTTTTGCTGTGTTTGTATATTTCAATCCCCTTATAAGATGCAGCGTGTCGTTCTTATCATTGTTGTGCTATGCATCATTTTATTTTTATTCAGTTCAAGATTATTTCGCTCTGGGTTTTGTTTTTCAATATTATATGTACTCCGCCTTCTCTCTCCTTCCCCCTCTCTATCTCTCTCTCTCTCTCTCTCTCTCTCTATATATATATATATATGTATAATATATATGTATTCACATAAGAAAATATCAATACACCTGCTAATTTGTTACTTACTATTTTGTTTTTTCCCCCCCACTAATAGTGTTGAAATTGACGGATCACTTGGAGAATCAGATGTGCAGAAAGAAACTGGATCGAAAAAGAGGTAACCAACCAAGTTTTTGTTCCGTTAACTGCATATAGGGTGTTTAACTTGTCAGGATCCTTGCAATTAATCATTAGAAGCTCATAACTTTCGAGTTTCGGCTTTAAATAAATTTATTCCCTGACAAAAACGGAAAAAAAATTGGGGTTGAGATACAACGTAAAAATGAATTAGATGGCTCTAATACAATTCTTGAATAGAACTCCAAACAATACTGACATGCATCTTCTCACATTTTTCTATTCTTCGACAGAGCTAGAACTGAATCATGTGCTCCATCAAACACCAAAGCATGCAGGGAGAAACAAAGAAGGGATAGACTAAACGACAAGTGAGTAATTATTATATTTTCTGCTCGTTTTGCGTAGCTAGTTCTCCCGTTTCTCTCTCTAGTATTAACTCCTTTGACCTATCTTTTTAGGTTTATGGAATTAGGTGCTATTCTTGAACCTGGAAGACCTCCCAAAACAGATAAATCTGCTATTTTATCAGATGCCCTTCGTATGGTAACTCAACTAAGAACCGAAGCTCAGAAACTCAAAGACGCAAACTTGAATCTCCAAGAGAAGATTAAGGAGCTCAAAGTAAGACTCGAAAACAAGATTTGTCAAAAAAGATTCGAAAAAAAAAATTAGCCTTATAAACGGTGGTTTATTCTGTTTGTGTAGGCTGAGAAAAACGAGCTTCGTGATGAGAAGCAAAGGCTGAAGGCTGAGAAGGAGAAAGTGGAGCAGCAGCTAAAGACGGTGAATGGGGCCCCACAACCCGGCTTTTTGCCAGCTCATCAGGCCATGCCAGGTGGCAACAAATTGGTTCCGATTATCAGCTATCCAGGCGTCGCCATGTGGCAGTTCATGCCGCCTGCCGCTGTTGACACGTCTCAAGACCATGTGCTCCGCCCACCGGTGGCATAAGCTGCCGGCACCTTTGATGACATGTTTTATTGCGTGTCGAAAATTATTCGTCGCTGTTTAACTAGTTTTTTGTTCAAGTATATTTATATCTAACTTGGATCTTATGGCGGATTACTGAGACCATTTTGTGATTGTTAAAACTTTAATTCTAGTGTTTAGTTTAATGGTGGTTTGAAATTTGTGTAAAGTTTAATAATTTTCGCTCTGCGTAATTAGTGCTCTCTTATGTTAATCTCCTTGCATTAGGGTTCTTTGGGTTTATTAAATTAGAAAACATCATTAGCAATTTTTTTTTTTGTTACTATATGTTATACCATGTAGAATATATATATATATATATATATATATTGTATGTATTTTATATAAATTTGTATTTCTTAATTAAGGGTGGGAATTGGAATGGCATTTTCCGAACTTCGTCGATTCGAAATATTACGATTTTGGAATATTTTGTTTTTCGTTTTGATTTACGGATATTTCAAGTTACACATGGGGATGGGTCGAATTTTCGAGTTACTTCATCTTTTGCAATTCTCAAACCACATTAAAAAAAGGTTAAATTACGGTCATCCCTGAGGCAAGGTTAAATTACAAAATTTCCTCTTGTTTGGGTACTTACAACTACTCATTAACTATGAATTTTCTTACACGTTCACCCTTATGATGTTAAATTCAACGGAATCTTCTAGATTTCGTGAAATATTCTCTAGTTTGTACTTGTTTTATGCAAAAATGCAGTTTCTGATGTACCACAATTTGATATTTATAAGCCAATAGACACATCTTATGATCTTGTAGCAAAATGTAGAGCTCGAATGGGATAAAACATGTACAAACTGAAGAATATTCCACATAATCTAGAAAATTCCTCTAAATTAAACACCGCAAGTATAAATATGTGAGAAGATTCATATTTAATGGTAATTGTAATTACAAAACATGAGAGAGGTTTTTCGTAATTTAACCTTACCTCAGGGGTATAACCGTAATTTAAACATTAAAAATATATGAGGCTCAAATTTTGCCTCATCTATATATGATATATATAACATGCAACTGAATATGTAGAGCTTTTCGGCACCGCCAAAAATGTCTTCCAAACTCCTCCAATTCCCAATCCAAACCATTAAAACTTCAAAACCCTTGTCCAATTTCAGACAAACAACAATAATTCTCTCATCATCTTTTTCAATCGCCACCCAACACCAGCTTCAGCTGATCTGTTATTACACAGATGAAAACCCCCACACGAAATCAAGAATCCAATGCACACTCTCATCATCATCATCATCTGCGAAACCACCCACCACAAAAGAAGAAGCAATTCTCCAAGCCAGGACCTCACTCTCCTCCGCCTTGGAGAAACCCCTCAACAACCCAAAACTCGCCGGAAAAATCAAGAAAGTGAAGCAGCCCAGGTTCCGGGTCGAGATTCCGGTCATCGACGACGCGCCCGCTTCGCTCTCTCAGTTGGCCGTCCAAGTGTTCGGTGAAATGCCCCTGAGAAGAAAAGGGTCGACAATCAAGATTCTCATACTGTGGCCTAATAAGGACTCAGCGCAGGCTGCTGTCAACGTCTTCGATTCTCACTCTTCTTCGGATATTCTTGTCCAAAACATCGACATGTCATCAATTCTTGATGTGGATCTCAGAACTGCCAACTCTGCCGACGTGGCCGTGTTCTTGTCGCCGGAGGTTTCTCAGGTGGCGGTTATGAAGAGGGTTACCGATAGTATGTACCCGAAGCCGGTGGTGATTTTTAACCCTAAATGGGGGTTTGAGGAGGAGGCGAATTTGGGGGAGATGAAAGGATTTGTGGGATCTTTTGATGTGGTTTATTCTTTCATGGGTTTGGAGGTTAGAGGGATCTTTAGTAAGCGAAATGGTGTGGTGTTTAAGTGTGTGAAAAACGGGATTTCAAGTGGCGAGAATTGGTATGTTCTTGTTGAAGAAGATGATGGAAATTTGAGAGTTGTTACGAGGTTCAAATCGAGGCCGCCCATCTCCGAAGTCGAGAATGTGTTGTACAATCTGATGGCTATCAATTCACCGGTTACTAAATCTGCCAAGTTCTTGAAAGATTTGGTTTCGAACGTAACCGGGAAGAAGTGATTTTTTTATTGTGAACACAATGGACTATAACGATGATTGTTTGATATCTTGCAATGTTGGTTGATTTCGTTTTCCGAACACTTGGTAGATTAACTACATAACTGTTGCCTAAGATGTCAATGTATACTCTTATCGGACATTTGTTCTTCCGTTTTTGTAATTTCTCAATTTTGATGAACCAGGATTTGCATCAAGGATGTAGAATTAAATTAATTATTGATGTTGAAAATATGATATAAAATTGTGGCAAGTTTAAGAACTCGGGATTACGGACAGAGTTCCCAAAATTTGAAGCATGGCTTTTTTCGTCTCTGCTCGGAAGTCGTTGTAACGGTGAAGAACCCTCCATTTTGGCATGTGTAAAAAGAGCCTAATGATTTTTTTTGTTTTTTGGTTATGTTTTCTCCTAATTTGCTCTGATGTGGCAGCTCTTTAAGAAACGATCAGAGAAGTCAAGATACTTGGTCCACAGAGGGCGCAGCTGCGGAAATGCTATATCCAGCCAAGGCTTTGCTCGACCGTTGAAGTGGATTACGCCTGCACTTTGAGCATCTTCAATGGTGGTATTATCTTGATACCCTAATCCTAACATATGCCAAAATGGATCGATAATTTGAACATGACCATGAAAAGCTATTAGACCAGGTGGTAAAGTCCCTAGCTGCCATAAACTCAGATCCGACTTCAGATTCTGCAAAAATCGAACATTTTAATCATTATAGATATTTATGGGTTTTTTTTTTTTTTTTTTATTCTTGTAATATTTGCTGCAAATTCTCTATTACCTCTTCAATCCAGTAGTAGTATGTATGGCTTATGTTTGTTCTTCTCCAAGCTTCTAGATCAAATATGTTCATCCCATATGCCCACGCACATTCTTTAGGATTGAAGTTTTTCGAAATCAAAGGATGAGAAAAGTTTAAATAGCTTTTCAACCTCTTCGACATGACAAATTTATCCTCTCCTCTACACGTTTCCACGGCCCCGTTGACTTTTCCGTTCAAGTCAACCTCCCATAGAGGGGATAAATCGGTTTGTACCACAATGTCGTCGTCAAGGAACACTACTTTTTCAAGACTTGGAAACAGCTGCAATTAAAAAAAAATCAAGAATGTTTTACAAAGGCTATATATATATATATATATATATATATATATATATATATATATATATATATATATATATATATATATATATATATATATATAATATGTTATATGTATGTACAATATACATATATATATGTATGGAATTTGATAGCTGACCTCAGGCAAATGTATACGAATGTGATTCATAACCGAATTATATTTCGGGCTAAGCGCCTGCAACTTTGCAGCGATAGTACGCGGATTTTCGGTGCTATTCGCCACAATAGCATTCGATCCGCCCCTAAATCTCGACCGTACATTTTGATCCTTCTCCATGGCTTCCAATACAGGGACCTTCCCCTTGGTGAACCAATCAAAATGGGTCAACGCTTTGACTTCAACGACAGCCGGTTTCAAAGGGTGCAGCGAAAACCATGCATGCATGGGAGCATAAGTCTTGCCATCTGTTATTACATGGAGTACGATGCTTTCGGGATGTAATGAATTGTGAACAAGTGATGATGCAACTACAGAGGCGGCTAAGACATTGTCCGAAGCTAGGACAAAGTGAAAAAACGAGTTGTCAACAAGGGCAGGGACGTAATTTGCGGAGGGAAGTTTAAGTCTTGCTTTGGCATTAGTGGAGTACTCGTTTGCCAGTTTGAGAGTGAGGCAGTGAAGCTGTTTCGGTATGCTGCTCGATGCCACGTGGCGGTATAGGTATTCTTGTATTTTTGCGGTTCTCGTTTTTTGTTCGAGGAACGTTACCTGTAAGAAGAAAGAGAGAGAGAACGTTTAATTGACAGCAAAACATTAGGAATTCATTTATCATTGCAAGATTATACCATGGATTTGAGCTTGATGGCAAAAGTCTTTGCATCGGGTCTTTCTTCCTTCATTTGGGCGATAAAATCTTCGAGTGTTTGATGAATTTCCGGTTCTGATTGTTTTTCGTTTTGATCCGCAGGGTTTTCCAACACTTGATATATCACTTCAGGAACCTGATCAAGAACCAGGTAAATGTTCGATAACATTGAAATTGTATGCAATAAGATGATATATTTATTTGGTGGCCTGAATTTGTTGACATTGTATTATTGGTAATAAAGAAATTAAAGAAATCTTGAATAATGATTAGACAGAAAAATTGTATAATTTAAGAAGTAAGTCTCAAGAAATTACATCTGTTTCAAATCTTCTTCCCAAAATTCGTGGTCCTAATTTTTTCCCCAAACAACCTGAGTTGGAACATAAACATAGTATTCTATCAGTGATTGAGTAAATAGCAAGAAATATATATATATATATATATATATATATATATATATAGCATGAGATTATTGGGTGAAATATATAATCGAAATCTTATTAGAATTTGCATGTGCATTGGAGGAATCGATCATTTATTGTTGGATAATTATTTAGTTACTTTTTATGATTTTATTATTATCATTATCATCAATAAGAGTTCGAACATACCTATAGTCGAGCATTTCCTTTCCCCGTCAATAGTATCAACTGCAGTTAATACGAAAACGAACCGAAGAAGAAAAGTGACGAGCAAAAGAGAGTAGAAAACCATGCGATAGGATAATTTTCTTGATCCATTCTTCACTTTGATGAATTCTCTAAATCCTTTTGCAGGCAAAACCGTGACGTGTCTCAAGCTCGGAGATATATGCAGCTGCATTATTTCCGACTTATTTTTTCCTCAGAAAAAAATAATAAAATCTAAACCAAGAACCGAATGACAAATGCTGTTGAGGTGAAGAATTGCCGAAAACGGAAGGTTTTGAGGGGGTGTTTAGAGTTGCTATCGATTACCTAAACTTGCTTAGGATATAGGTTATTGGATTTACGTAAGTTTATTCTTTGTTTTGTATTTTTAATTTTTTCGGGTTTTCTTTCGTTATTTATTGCAGGAACAAATATTATAGTGACAGACAAGGAAGAGAGGTTGTTTGAAGGAAAAGGACTGGATACTGACAAAGGGCTCATGTTTTTCTTGATTGGTTTTGTGTTAGAGAAAAGTAAGTTTATTTATTTAATTTATGGGTAAATTAAGGCCACCCCTGAGGTATGGCCAAATTACAAAAAAAACCCTTTTGTTTGGGTAATTACATCCACCCCCTCCTTTTAAATATTTTTACATAAAATTTATGTAATACGGTTATTTACCGAACCAAATCGTCAATAAACAGTATGAAATGTTGGCGTACCGAAATTTCGGTTTGATTTTATCGATTTAACATCCCTAAATTTACCCCTGGAGGGGTTTTTTCGTAAGATGATACATAGTTGAGGGGGTGGCTGTAATTACCCAAACAAAAGGGGGGTTTTCGTAATTTGATGATAACTCAAGGGGGTGGCCGTAATTTGCCCAAAATTTATTTATTATTTAATTAATTAATTTATTTATATTCAATTGAAGAATGAAGAACAAGGATTTATAGTTTGGTGTTGCTTCGCTTTGCCTCCACATTAAGTATATTTGTTTAATGATAGATAGATGAGAACATGTTCTTCATGAAGGTGATGGTTATGAAATATGGTTGGTTTCGGCTTTCGTTTTCGTTGTGTATTATATTTTCTAATTTTACCTTTTCATTTTATTGTGATTCTGCGTGGAAATCAGACCGATCAAAACGAAATTAGCACATTCCGGAAGATTGGAAGTGAAAACTAATTCTAACTCCACATGAACATATTTATACGAAAATGAACATAAAACAAACAATATCCATACACTTAAACTAAACAAGTAAAAATGCAAACATTACATATTTAATAAAATTATATAAATAACATTTAAAAAAAATGTTAGGGTGCCGAACTATTCTGGAATCAAGTCGGAGTTAAATCACCATAACGATTAACAGAACCGTAGCGGCAACAAAGAGTAGAGCAAACATTGCATAATATGATGCAACATGGCATTTATTTACATATATATATATATATATATTTTAAATATAATATAATTATTAGAATTATGATAATCTGATTGTTTATTTACAACAGTCAGAAAATGTAATAAAATCATCAAACACCTTTAAAAAGCTTTGCACACACATCCACCACAAGTCCAAAGGCATCTAAATCTAAGTTCCCTCTCTCCCTATATATATATTTTGTATTCCACAAAGCATGGAACTTCAAACCACCCCTCCCACAGAAATAAAAGAATATCTTCATACCTGGAAAATTTAAAAAGATTAATAAATAACACCGTTCATACGAGGAAAAAAAATCGTAAACTTACGCCTAGTCATAATGAAATAATAACGAAAAACGAGCGAGCTATATATAGATTGACGAGCCTAATATTCAAGAAACTGAGGGTGGAAGGGAAAAATAAATAAAAAATTTAAATCCCGATAGTCGAGTAGTTAATTACCTTTAGTCAAACTGGTCAACCTCAGCAGATTCATTGTCCATGTTGTTCGAGCCGTCTCTATTATGTACAGATCTAATCTGGCTCTCTCTCACGGAATTCTCCCTAGTAGTAGTATTTACTACACTCGCGACACGAGTGTTCTTCATCGTTGATCGATCATTAGTATTTACAGAACTGCCCCTGCTAGTTTCACCCAACAAGTCGACACCATCCGATTCTGAACCAGACCCCTGAGGCTGAATTCGTCCATTCTTTTCGCTGTTTTTCACATAACTCCTGAATATCAAGAAACATTTTTATTAAACAAATTAAAATTTCAAGTAGAATTTATAAACGAAGCATTAAAAAAAAGGGGCCCCCATAAAAGATACTTTATGTATAATAAATTCTCACACACAAATTGTTGTAGAACCAAATCAAACACACCTCCCCTGTTGAAATTGAAGATAATCATAAACTGGAACCAAGTCTTTTGACCTTGCTTCGAGCGTGCGTATGGCGACTCTTTCAATCTCGATTTCTCCTTCATTCACATTCGAGCCTTCACTCACCATCGACTGAAAGTACACCTGTCCAAAAAATAATTTTAATTAAATAACTTAAAACAAGAACTCTCTCAACTTCCCAAAACAACAAAGAAGTTACCTCAGGTCTGCCCCACAACGGATTCGGATTCCGATGCATTTGAAGCTCCGCTTCGGATATATACTTCTTATGCTTTTCCTCGTTAGTAATCTTTTCTTTAACTGTTTTTTTACCAAGAACATCCGATGATAAAAAATTATTCCTTTCTGGATATACTTTACTACTATCTGGATTCCCGTTTTCTCCATACACGTCAATAGTATCACCTTGCTGCTCCTTTCGGTTCTGCTTTTGGCATATATTCCATTTCTGGATCGCCTCGACCACTAACCTCATCTCGCCTTCGGGACTAAGTTCACCGCCGAAACTTGCTTCACGCAGAGCCGAAGAAGACGAAGAACCGTTAGAAGCAGGGGAAAAACGCAGCGCGTACTGTACAACACAGCCAGGTGAGAAAACGAGCAGGTAGTAGCTTTTCTTCGGAGAATTAAAATCGTCGTTATTCCCTTTGCAGTTGTGGAAAACCGAAGCAATCGCACCAGAGAAAGAATTCAATCTCCCAGTGGCAGCTGCTGCAGCACCGCTCACCGTGTTTCTCCAGCCGTTACTGCTATTTCCACTCCTTATCCTGCTAACGGCAGAGAGGGTGACGGTCGGACCCGAAGCGGAGATGCTCTGCTGAGTGAGTGCCTGTAATCTCGCATCGGTTGACTGAGAAAAGTCAACCAATCCGCCCGAGGGTGAAATGGCGAAAAGGTGACTTGTTCCTCTTAAAGAACTGATCATAATCCATTGGCTGTCGCTACTAAAGCTTATGTCTTGTATGACCTGCAAAAAAAGCATTTGCGTAAGACTTCTATAAAAACGGGGTTCGGTTAAGAAAGACAAGATCTTTCCATTCTTACAGCATCAGTGATGCCACGTTGCAGCCTGTAAAGATGGGCGTAAGACTGTTCAGAAGAGCTTGAGGGCATTATTCGGAACACGTTTATGTTGTGACCTTGTACCGAAGCTGTCACTAAAAGGGTACCGGTCGGATCGAAGCACAGTGAAGAAATGGGACTTTTGTGGGCTGTGAACTGAGCAATCACATTCTTGCTCACAATGTCTCTCACTATAACCTGATATATTATTATATTAAAAATGGTCAGAAACGGTAGCTAATGTCAAGTTGAATTGCAAGAATGTACAAACAAGCATTACACTTCGGTGCAGAAAACCATTGCTAGCGTGGAGAAACGAAAAACCTAAGTCCGCTAAATGAAAGCCATAATGGGCTCAATAAAGCAAAATATATATTTAGTGTAGACATGTTTAGAATATAGAGCATACCATGCCAACATTGTCTGCTGCATCGGACGAATGTCCATTAGAACCACCATGCACCTTCACACGGGCAATTCCCGAATGAGAACTGTTACCTTCGGACAAATCAGAATAGTACCTAGACAGCTTCTTATACCCCATATCACCTAAAGTCACAATACCAGCAGCAAGCTGCTTGCTCGATTCTCTTGCATAATGCGCAACGAGGCTTCCGTTTGACGTTTGACTAGAAAAACTGGATGAACCAGTAAGATGCTGAGGTGCCACTCGACGTGAATTCGAAACCGCAACTGGACTCCCACTGTAAGCCATCCATCTGGGGCCTACAGCAAGTGGGCCCACACCTATACTTCCATAACTTCCGGAAGTTACCGGATTTGTAAGGATAGTGTATTCTTTCTCTAACGTAGCAGCATTGAGACAATGTATCTGTAAAATAAAAAATTAAAAAATCAACATTATAAAAAAGTTTTTCCATAAGCAGAAGTTAAGTTATTATGATTTAAGTTCAATATAACTTATTTTTTAGAAGTTGGAGGTGTTTGCGAATATCATGAAAAAAATCAACTTTAAGCAACCAATAGAGAAGTTGTAGTGTCTGCAAATAAACTTTAATTTTCAGCTATTTAAAAAAAATTATCTTAAATACCTAATTGAGTACATGAAAGATTGAATATCTTTTCATTATAATTAGCATAAAAACTCGCTTTTGGAATGAAAACCGTGAAAGTTATATACATAAAAAATAAATAGCTACACCCAATTTATTTTTAATAGCATTAGACTTGTAATTCTATCTTGAGTTTTCTTTTATATATTAATGAACTATAAGAAATCATACAAGAGACGAGTAGAATCGTTTGGGGCTAAGGACATACCTGGGATGATTGCAAAACAGCAACAACTCGAGAGCTGGACCGAACTAAATGGACGGCAGATCGAAACCTTAAAAGATGTACGTACGATTGAGATCTCAAGGAGTAAAACCAGACAACTGTAGGTACATAACTACCGTTAACTGGCACCTGCCCTGGTCCCTCGTGAACATTATTAATATCTCCGGAAAATGACCCGTCAGCACAAACGATGAGAAGAGGGCGGTTGTCTGAAAATTCATCTTTGGACTGTTTTGATGGCTCTGGTTTTGGTAATACTTGCATGAACGAAACGGGTCCGTCTTGCCTTGTGACTAGGTTACGAACATTGTCTGCTTCTTCGACATCCCATACCTGAAACCCGTAACTGTAACCAAGCAAAAGAACCTGCTTTGTGACGCCTTTTTCGACTTCTAGCTTGTCAAATCCAGCCCAAGTTACCTAAAATGGAAATAGAAATATCATAATTGAATTGTTTTTCATTTACCAGAAAGATCCCAAATTTAATCGGCGTTTGATCGACTTCTTGATTTAAAACCACAAAAAAAATTAAAAAATGTGTGTTTTTTTGTTTTAATTACAGATACTATATTTAAGAAAGATATGAGAAAACGTGATTGATTTCTCAATCTACGAAACGACAAACCATGTCGTTACATAGAACAAGCGAATGCGTAAAATCCTCGACCAATGACTAATTCGTTAACAATAAATGGAAAATTAATTCTTTTTTAATGATTTCAGGCGGCAACCGTCAAAAGAAGAAGAAAAAAGCTTTAAATTTGTCGGACTACAATTAGTTCAACCAACGGCCTAATGACAAAACTAACGATTTGAATGGGTGAACGCACCGAAAACAAAAACATATCCACTTACGACAACGACAAATTAACCTAAAAGATCTACGAAACAAATAATAAGTGGGTCCCACTTGCGGCTAAAAGATCTAACGAACAAATATAAGTGGTCCAACTCAGCAAAATGCAGGAACAAATGTACAGAGCTATCTTTCTGAAACCAACTCCCCCTCCCCCACCCACCCCACCGCCTACCCAAAAAAAACTGACGACGATGACAACGAAGATGACGATGGTTATAATAATAATAATAATAAATTAATAAATTAAATAAAACAAAAACATCAAATATTCAGAAAAGAAGCTTCAACCCTAGACAAAACCTATACGGAAAAACGGTTTTTTTATCAACTATTTACAAATGGTTCTAATGGTTAAAAATAGTATCTTGCGCAAGTCTACCTTACACACATTTGCATTCAAAGATCCATACATCGTAAGATCTAATTCAATTACCCTTCGACTCTTCAAATTTCAATAAACATCATTAATCACAGACACAAGTACAAAACACAGATCAACTTCCCAAAATCTTAGTACCTTCTATTTTAGCTGAAGATCCCATCGAAACATGCATGCAGAAGAAACTAACTAGCAACAAAGAAAAATCTACAACATACGATCTGTTTGACAACAACCCCACATATGCAAACCCTTATTTCAGTGTCGATCCTAAAAATCATCACTAAAATCACCAATTCAATCAACAGTAACAAAAACCAAAAAACACAACTTTCGTACACAATTCAAGAACTGCACAGCAAATAACACTAAATCATACATTCAACTCCGAAATGCAATAAAAATTCAATCTTTTCGAAAAGCCTCACCTGAGCATGGCTGCTTTCACCGTCCCTCTCCACAATAGCAGAAGCCGCAGACGCGGCGGACCTTACGGTGGACGCTACAGTCGACGCACCAGAAGAAACAATCTTCAGGTAACTCGAGAGAGTCTTGAACGAATTCGGGATAATCCCGTTATTACCCCTACCACCGGACGACCGCGGGACCATTGCGCCACCACCACCATCACCGCTTTTCTGGCCGTCATTCCTCATACCCTAACGGCAAAACCAATCGAACTATCAACACAACAACACACCGCAAACAGCTGATCGCTCCACTCGACTTCCCTTACGAACATGCCCTCGAAAAATATAAAGAGCTTGCCCCCACCCCCACCCCTTTATATATACACAGATGTTAGTCGAAGCATTCGGCTTACAGGTGTCTGTGTACTTGGCTTACACCTCAGAAAACACCATCCAAAAATCATGCAAATCGCAACAAAAAAGTAAAAAATAAAATTAAATTAAAAAAAATTAAAATTAAAAATCAAACGGTTCGATTACACCATCGTGTTCCGTTTGCTTTTTCTTCTTCACATTAATCACACCACCACCAGCAAAAAGAAAAGAGGAACAAGTTCCGAAGAAGAATCCAAAAATCGGGTGGGGGTTTTGTTTGTCTGCGGATTGGATTCTAATCGTGCTGATTTTTTTTTTCTTCAAATTCAATACAAAACAACAAAATTCCTCAAAAAACTCCTTTGTTGTGTGTGTATACTTATATATATATAATTTATTTGTTTTGGGGCTGTATCTATCTGCTTCTATCTATAAAGGAAAAAGCAAAAAAAAAAAAAACCCAAGGAAAAAATGAAAGAATTTAATAGAAGATATGAACAATTTAATCAGACAGAAATATGTACAAAATTAAAATCAGGAATTTTGAAGGGTTTTAAATACGAAATTAAATTCCTAGGGTTTCGTTGATTTTTTGAGATTTGATGATTTGTTCTCCGAGAGACGAAGGTGTGTAGAGAGAGAAAGAGATGAGAGAGAGAATTTGGGGAAATCAGATAATGAATAGAGACGAACAAATTAAAAAAAAAATTAAAAAAAACAAAAAAAAAAAAGTATTTCTCTATCTTACGTCTCTCTTTCTCTCTCTAGAATTTAATTTCCCTTTTTCATTTTTTGTAAATTCGAAAATGTTCGGCCGAAGCCAACTCCGCCGCACGTCTTCCCCACCACCGCTGGTCAAAAGAGTTTCACCGCTGTCGGTGAAAAAACAGAGAAACGGAAAATGCTTTGCGCGCGTGGCTCCCACTCGCGGGTTTGGTTCGACGCGTGGCTGTATGGACGCGTGGCGAATTAATGGAGCGAGTGGTGATTCGGTGGCTAGATCCTACGGTTGAGAATGGATGGGGTGTAGGGTAAGATTGGTGGAGCGGTGGAGTATGGGAGAGAAATTGTGATGGCGTCATCGTTTATTAAAATAATATTTTATTTTTTTCGGAATATGTATATGGGCGAGTGGGAATCCGATGGGAATGTACTGTGGATTATTTTTCGGGATCATATCATCTCGTGTTGGTTTATCTCGCGATAAATTGGAAAAATGAAAAATATATAATCTAATATAAATATTATTATTAATGTGATATATATATATATATCTTTTAAATAGATATATGTAGGTGCGTGAATTTTCATTAATATTTTGTTAATGGTAATGTGGGTGATTAAATTATTCGTAATTAATATTAATTATGTCCAAATACAAGTGTTTAATATTAATTATGTCCACATATTAACAAATTATGGATGATCATTATCGATACGCATGAATATTTTTATTTTTATTTTTATTTTAATATTAATATTTAAGAATATAATATCGTCAATATTATACACATGACCTCCAATAAATTCAATTAATTAAAACTTAAATATTATGGTGTGACAACACTATTTCCCAATTAAACCATACTTAAATATAAAATCTACAATAGTATAATGATTATCATACGAGTGTGCAAGAGAGATACGAATATTTTACATATATTTCTCAATTACTGATAAAATAATTGATCTGTATATAATCATTTACAACGATTTGAACTTGAATTTTACTGTCAGCACTTTTTAAATTGAGTTTGTCACGTATAATTAGTTTAGTGTAATTTACTAGCTATTATACGATTACATAGTTTAACCATTACGCTTCGAGTAAATAGGAGTTCCTTTATATTAAATTGGATGTGATATTTTATTTTTATTATTAATATATGCACACGTGGTGAAGTACTTCCCATAACTAGTTGCTCCCTTTTTTACTATTTTACCAAAGTAAATAAAAAAAATGGAATTATGAATCTGAAATTTAAAAAATAGTTACCGTTACTTTTTCATAAAATGGCAGCAAATCATTGGGGAACCCATTCAACTCAGTCTCTTACCTATTTTGGAGAAAACTCAATACACTAAATAAACAACTCAATTTCTTTTTCCCAAAAAGAAAAAAAAAACTCTCAATTTTATTTTTTTTACTTTTCATTTCACCTTAGAATATTAACACTGTTACATATATAACCCGCAATTGAGTCGGGCTTACTCGAAACCAGATTGTTTGCCCAATTTTATATGGGTCGAGTTTAATTAATTTTGGGCTGGACCGAGTTTGAGTCATTTTATTAATCCGAAATATTATTAAGCTGAATTTGAGTGTATTATAGTTCAACCCGAATAAAGTCTGATCGAATAATAAATATATTAAAAAAAAATCTGCTGAAGTTAATAATTATGGTTGAACAATAACTTATCTTGACTTTATTTACATGAATACATTTATGATAGTATGAAATTACAAAATTGCCCTCACAAAATAATTACATTTAACGGGTCATAAAGTTTTGCCAGCTTATCTTATATATAAAAGGAAGATATTTTGACCTATAACCCTAGACCTAAACCTAGGGGTACTTTCGACAATTACTATCATGGCAGTTTTTTTTTTTTTTTTTTTTTTCTAAGTCAGTTTTTAATTTTTTCCTGTTTTTTCGACACACCCTCAGTTTTTTTTTCTCTCTCCATATATATAATAACAGTAAAAAAACTGCCCAACATAAAAAAACTGCAAATACAAACCTATTTCACACGATATTAAAACTACTGGTAGTTTTTCCTTTTTCATTTTTTTTAATTTTTATAGGCCGTCTATTTTTTTTTGTTACAATACTTATCTCCTTCAATTAAACTCCCCACGATCCCCACTTCTATTTCTCAAATCATTTTTTCAATTTTCCTTAAGGTATCTCAAACATTTATAAAATTCACTGTTTACTCTCATCTCCAATGGGAAAGACATAACCGGGCTAAGAAGGTTGTTCTTTTTGGTTTGTTGTTTTGGTTTGAAAATATTCTCTTTTATTTTTATTGGTGAGAAATCGATAGATTTGTCAAATTGATTGATAACTTCAATATTTATATTGTTGTTTTATTGATGAGAAATTAACACTAATGGTTTTTTTTCTTCTCGGCCACAACTCTCACGAGTTTGCTTAACAGAGCAGATTGGAAACTATATAAATGCTGGCTTTGTTTGTCATTACCAATTTCTGATCGATTATATTATCGTAATAAATAGACTCTTAACATATATCTTCGGAACAATACTTTCCTACTGCTTCTAGATATCTTTGAATCTTATATACCTATAGTTGGTTTACTTAAACAAGTTTTTATTCATTTTCAGTAAAAATGGAATGTTTAGCTTATTCATTCCTTTGCATATGGGGAAGACAGAAAATGCTTGCACAGCGCCGCCTGAGATACATTTTGTTTCCTTCCACTTCCCTGACCTATTTTATGTTCAGTTTGAATTTTCAAAACTTTGTTTTTCTTACAGCTCTTTCAGATTTTGTTTTTCCTCTACACGATATTCAACTGCAAGACATGAGTGGTAACCTCTCTCAACAACTCCTCTCCTAAAATTTAACCTCATAACTTCCAGATGGATCTACAAACGCGGCCTCTTTGATTTTCTATAACATCACAATTGTTTTAGAGGAAAGAAACCGTTGCATCCATTGGCAATATATTCTACGTTTTTTCTTCTCTTCCATCCACTTCCTGGATAAACAATTTCGAGCATAAGGTTTGTAGCTTACGATTCTATTTAACTGCAAAAGTGCATAATATTAACTGCTATTTTTTTGCGTTTATTTACGTGAGTGTCAAACCTTTCAGATGGTGAGAAGAGATATGCAAAAGTTTTCAAGGAAAGATATATATAATTGAATGGTTGTACAATGAAGTATGTGATCTCTATAAGAACCCACGGCTGGAATAGGAGATCATGTGTACGTGCAGAACCAAGGGAAGTTGTAAAATTAATAATGTGATCGATTATGTCATAACTTCCATCTCTTCTTTAATACTCTTGATTATCTTTTTTGTTTTATTATCTTAAACTTATCATGGTTGTTGTATATTATAAGTTCTGGGATGTGCATGATTTCTTTAACCCGAACATTTGTCGTAGTCTACCCAGAAAAGGAACAGTATTGCTTCATTTCCTACATCTAATTCTATATCAAACTATGCATCGATGGCAGTCGCTCAAACCCAAGTTCATTTTGTTTCCTCCTTTATTTCGTTCAAAACTCCAAAAGAAGTCGTTCTTCGAGTAGTTTTTTTTGCAAGTCATTTAAAAGATGTGTTGATGTGCTAAGTACTTCGTAAATTTATGGACCGTCTAACTCCAAATAAGTAAGAACGTTCTTACCAGAGTTAAAAATGTCTACCGTTTTATTATTTGGTTTTTTCCTTTTTTTTTTTTATAAATCTTCATTTGCATAATCCGAGTTTTGTTCTTTTACAGAGGGTGTGATGAATTCTTAGGCTTAGTTTTTGGGTTTCTTTAGATATATGTAACATATTATATACTGTAAGTTGATCACGTTTCCATGTTTCCATATATGTAACATATTTTTTTCGGGTTTCTTTAGATTATTTCAATAATTTTTATATTCAGTTTCCATGTTGGATGAAATATGTTCACTTCCAAGAAATAAGTCTCTGAATTCTACAAGTCCCTGCGCCAAAATTATCGAAATTATATGCTATAACAAAAACAAAATTAAACAAAAGAAAAAGAGCATCAAAGTGTCATAATCTCTCCGTTGTAAGTTGTACGTTTATTAAAATTTATAAATAATGACATAAGAATAGGCTATTTGATAGAGTAGTATACCGAATTATTTACGGATCGAAATTCGGAAATTCCGAAGATTACATATCAAATTCCAATTCTGATATGTTTTTTTTTTTTGAAAATTTGGAAATCGGAATTTTGACTTTGGATTACAAAAAGTTGTTCTGGAATCGAAAATCTTCGGATAGGATTCGGTGGAAATTGAAATTCCGTTCCAATTTCGATCCCTATATGTGATTCATTAAATGAATATATTAACTTTGAGGTCAAATTGTCTTTCAATATCAAAGGTTATTACTTTCCACGAATTTGTTTCGTATTTTCATTTCAACAATGTTTTTGTGCTATTTTAACCTATATCTGATGCTATTGGTAATTGCTAACTTGCATTTATTGTTTTTGGCATCAGCGAAGTGTAATCATTTTTTGAGCAGTTCAAGATTTTGCAGTGTTAGGAGTAGCAAATATGCATTATATGATGACAATTTGTATTTTATTCCTTATTATCTTACTCATGTGTTTTTGTTTTTGTATGATTCAATTGGAATATGTAATCCCGTGCAACGCACGGGTACTGGTACTAGTAGATATAATCCAATACGGATCCACGATGATCCATATGGAATATTACCACTTGCTTTATTTTTTTAAATAAATATTTAATTATTAATAGATGATTTTAGACTGATAATTCCAGTATAACATCGATAAATTAATAATCTTACTTAAATAATAATTTTTTTCACTAATTAAATTATAAGCTTGATAATTTAATATTTTGCTAAATTAATAGAAATTTCCTGGTCTTAAATTGTATTAATTTTATAGAGGTTTTAACTGTATAATAGTAAGGGATTCGTATGAATTGCGGACGAAAACTTCTCACCACCAATCATTTGGGTTCGTCAAGAAATCATGAGTTAGGCTCGGCTAATTATTTGTTATTTTTGGTGAAATACCTAATAATTGAACACACCAATAATTATTAGTTTCTTTGGACATTGCATTTTGTTTGTAGGAAAATCGTGAAATAGGGTTCGAAATGATTATTGATTCCCGATTCACATATATTTTCTGCAACAATATTTATTCTGCAGAAATTGCATCTTTTATGAAAATAAAATTCCGGTTTTCATAAGTAGCCAAAGTTCGGGAGTGTAGTTGAGCTCGCCCTCGACTTATTTAAATAGTCGAAATCAAATATTCGATAGCTCTAATATTTAAGCGTCAACCAACACGATCAAAAAAAAAAAAAAAACCGCACGAGTTTTTCTTATTTTAATTAAAGTATATAAATAATTAGTTATTTACATTTTTATATGAGAGTTTTCATAGCCAAACGTTTAGAAGCATATTCTAAATATTCTCATATATTTATCGATAGTCCATAAATGATTGTTGATAATAATAAATAAATAAGGAAAAAAAAATTAAAAAAATGGCTGGCATGTTTTAATAGTCTCTTTCAAGTTTCATACCTGTCCACTAGTTAGTTTTTATTTTAGACCCTACCACACTATGGTTTTATTACCCTTATTAAACCAAGAAACCCTTTTTTACTCCAAAAAAAAAAAAAAAAAAAAAAAAAAAAAAAAAAAAGCACAACATATTCGATAAAATTACGTTCGTGCAATAATTCACAATCACAATCACACGAAAAGGCGTAAACCGCCTTCGATAATCATGTTTGAAAAGTTCGATATAGAAAAAATATTAGCAAATGGAATCAAATTCGGGTCGTTAGACACCAAATTACTTCTTGAAAAATAAACTATTAAGATTTCGTGATTAGTAATAAGGATAAATTACAACTGCCCCTAGGGGTGTGAACGAGCCGAGCTCGGCTGTTTTGGCAGGCTCGAGCTCGAGCTCGAGTCCATGTTGCCGAGCTCGAGCTCATTGAGTTATTTTTTTTCCCTCGAGCTCAAGCTCATTTAGGGTTTTTTTATTATTATTTTTTATTAAAATCATTTAATTTTTATTAAAAATTATTTATAGTAAAATGAAAAAAAATATAAAATAAATAATGAACTCTAGTTATATTTTTATTTTTATTTTATATTATTATGAAGTCTAAATAATACAGATTTGTTTCTATTTAAATACTAGAAATATTTATTACTATAGACTATTTACTATTTTAGTTAATAATATATATATATATATATATATATATATATATATATATATATATATATATATATATATATATATATATATATATATATATATATAAGGCGGCTCACGAGCTGTCGAACAATTAAAAATTAGGCTCGAGCTCGAGCTCGAGCTCGTCCCAAGCTCGAACTCGTGAGCTCGAGCTTGATCCTTTGTCGAGTCGGCTCGGCTCGTTTACCACCCCTAACTGCCCCTGAACTAAGGCCTATTTACCAAACAAATCATCCTTTTTTCATAATTACATGATTACATCCACCCTCTATAATTCGTAGATTTTTTACATTAACACCATGTTCTATGGGGTGCTTGTAAAAAATTTACAAACTACGGGGATGTAAAGAGATTTTTTGTAATTAAACTTTATTGCAGGGATGTTGTGGTAATTTAACCTTAATATCATTTACTTGATCGGAATCTTTTAGGTTCATGTCCCATCAATATTGACTCATTTACTAGGGAATATTAAATTATCCTAGTAAATTATTTATTTATTTATTATCAATTACTTTTTTAATGTATAGCGTTACATGCATACAAAAAGTCTACGAATTTGTTTGCGTACAAGACCAAATTTATTGGATTCTTTCATTTTCTGCCCTTTATTTTTTTTCTTCCTCTTTGGAATCGTATAAAGTTTGTGTTTATAATAAATAATCTAAAACAAAACTTGAAGCCATGTTCAATAAAATTGGGGATATACGTCTACGCCACTAAATGAGTGCAATGCTCGTTATTAACAAAGTCATAAGATTCCTCAATCATATACATTATTCAACTATAATAAAATAAATAAATACACACACATACATACATACATACATACATACATATATACATACATAAGCAAATCTATTCCATTACAAATATTGATGGAGATCAGTTCGGCAATATTGGGCCGAACCGAACTCTCCATATTCAGGCCCAACGAAGAATAAAAGTTAAGCCCAGAACTGAGGTGAGACTCATATACCTTATAAGCCAAATCCTAGCAAACAAGGATGATCAAGATAAGCCAAAACGTCAGCCAAAAATAGCTTCTCACAATTGGTAGACCATCAGCGATCACTTCAAATCACAAGATATCAGTTCGCAAGATAGGAAAAAAAGTAGGTGTCGAGCTCAAAGGCAGTCACTATGTGAAGAAGATTCGACTATATTTTCTATAAACAAATAAGAAAAGTGTATAAATCAAGATTGATAACTGATTGATGTAAATTAAGGACGGATAAAAGGATCGTATATTACGAAACAACTATATGTACTTCTCTATATAAACAAATGTAATAAAACTCTATTAGGGTTACGGACACACAATCACTAGAGGATCGTATATTTTCTGTTGAACTCTCTCTCTCGCTCTCTCTTTTATGTTATGCAACCTGTCCGTCGTCTTGTCCATACTCGTCAGTCCAAAATCCGGTGATATGTGAACTTTTCCGACAATGAGTGAATAGGGTTTGAATTTTTTTTATTTTTTTTTCTATTCCATCAAATGTAAAAGATCCGGCCCGTATTGTTTTGGGCTTGTCCATGCTCCATGAACATTATTATGCTTTATAGACTTATAGTTGATTAATTAAAACAACAAATAATTAAATAAATTAGTTAATGGTGGTCATTAATTTACAAAAAAGTACTATAATTATGCCAACATGAATGAATACATGGGTGGTCAACTTATAGTGAATAATCAACGGTTTATATTTATATTTAATTTAAATATTATATATACAATAGAATGTCTGTTATGAATCATGGGGTATTATTAATTATTATATTGGAATATATGTTTTATTATAATTTATAATTCAGTAATGATGAAATATATTGACACCTAACGTGATTTCGTTTTCAACATAAAAGGTATTGTGTGAGATTACAATTTAGCCCCTTTTGGTTTCATAAAAAATAAGGAAGCCCCCACTCTTTTTTTCTTTTTTCCTTTTTTTTATAAATTGAGTTAGGTAGATGTGAAAAGGTTAAAAGGAAATTACAATATTAATTTATGTAATTATCTTAATTGAATAACGTTTTGACTTCGAACCTAATTTTGACATATTTCTAGTTTGATTTTGGCAAAATTCGAAACATAAAACTGTTTTCCTTTGAATTATCTTTCTAATCCACCTTAAATCAGCTAGATTCGATATCGTGTGACAAAGTAATGCATGAATGAGTTATATTTTGATTTTTAGATGACTCAGTGCATCAAAGTTGTGGGCAGTGTTCGTTGATTAATGTATATCTTTCTCATCCGACATCCAATTAGTGATTCAAGTTGAATTAGAAAGTTAACTCAAAAAACTACAAATTCCATGTTTCCGATTTTGCAAAATTTGGAATACAAAATGTTCCAAATCGTATTTGAAATCGGAACAGTACTATTAAAGCTCGAACGGCATTTATCACACCCCCACTGAGTCACTTTTTCAACAATTTAAAAAAAATAAAAAAATCTCAAATGACACCATTACTTTTTCTTACCACACTTCACCTTAAATTCTCAAAAGAAGATTATTAAATAATTAATTAATTAATTAACTTAATTAAATAATAAAAAGAAAACCGACAAAAAGGACACTTCTCCCGCCAACGATTACCTGTTTCTGACAGGCCCAGCATTTCGAGATCCAATACCATTAACAATCCTCTACATCGGCACCCCACCACAAGTCCCTGCTCCTCTCCAATCAGTGACCGTTAATTCGTTATTACAAAACCATCAATGTACGATGATTGCCGTCCACGCCGAAAGCTAGCTGCACCCGGGCCCATAGAATCCTCCGCACGTGCCAACTACACCAGAGTCTGTATAAACCCGCCCCGCACGTGCCAATCGATTATCTATCCCTCTCTTCCGAATGTTTATCACCTGAGCTCTTTTTTTCTGCAGTCGGATCCCGCCTCCGATCTGGAGAATTTACTGGTTATTCCGGCGTAATCGCCGCCGCAGTCAGTAGCGACTGCACATTTTCCGGCCGAGGAGCTGAGATTCGATCCGGCGGCGGCTGATTGATAAGATTCCTGACGGAGATGGAATCCATCTTGGCCCGAGCTCTGGAGTACACGCTGAAATATTGGCTGAAATCGTTCACCAGAGATCAGTTCAAATTGCAGGGGCGCACCGTACAACTTTCTAATTTAGGTTTTTTTTTTTTGTGCTTTCACTGAGATGCTTTTTGTGTGTGTGTGTGTGTGTGTGCGCGGAGCAAAGTTTAGAACAACTAGGTTAAGTTTTCGTTTATGTAATTGAGATTTTTTTTTTTTGGTGGTAGATATAAATGGAGATGCGTTACATGCAAGCATTGGATTACCGCCGGCGCTGAATGTCACCACCGCCAGAGTTGGGAAATTGGAAATTATAGTGAGTAACTTCATCGCTCATTTAATTGCACAATCGAATTTTGGGATTCTTGTCAAGTTTAAAAAAAATGAAAATTCTTACATTTATTTAGCAGAATTGAGGTTTTGTTGGCTTTGTTTATGTGGTTAATAGTGTGTTTTCTTTGAATTCTGAAGCTTCCTTCAGTGAGCAATGTACAAGTAGAACCAATTGTGGTGCAAATTGATAGGCTTGACCTTGTCTTGGTGGAAAATGATGATGTAGATGCATCTGATAACTCAAGCAGGTACAATGAGTTAGTGATAGGTTCAAGAAGCTCGAATTCGATTATTACTTTCTTTGGGATGGTTGTTAAAGCTCGAATACGCATATCGGTTTTTCTTTCTTTGTGCAGTGTTTCGTCCTCAACAAGTGCTTCGAAGGGTTCTGGCTACGGTTTCGCCGACAAGGTTAATCTCTGCATCCTATTGTAGGACAGCATAATCTTGCATTACTGTATGCTGTGTAATTGGTTTAGGTGTTGTTTTATGTGACAGCTACACTCTATGCTGTTTGTATGTCGAAACTACTCTTTCATAACTTTAAACAGCTATGAGCTGCATGATAAATTTGATGGTCATAAGTTTAGTCTTATCAACAGATTGCAGATGGAATGACGTTACAAGTTAGGACTGTGAATCTCTTACTTGAAACTCATGGTGGAGCTCGGCACAGAGGAGGAGCAACTTGGTAAATCCCGTCACCTTTCAATTGATGAACTTTTGGTTTGTCAATGGGCTGGAAGTTGTTCTATATTCAAATTCGGAAATCAAAACTCTTAAAGCAATTTCCATGTTAGTTTAGAAAAAATATCAGCTTTTACAGCAAACTGACATCCTTACGTGAATTCTGTAATTTTCATTTCTTGAAGAAATTAGTATTCGTCAAGATTTTGAAGATAAATACGGAAATTGTGTAATAAAGTAACCTTTTCCAATTCAACAGGGCATCACCAATGGCTTCCATCACCATACGCAACCTTCTTCTCTACACAACCAATGAAAGCTGGGAGGTAGGCTCTAAACAATTTATAGAAGCTAGTTCTGTATTTCTTGCTTTAAGTCTATTCTGTCTTAACAAGTTATAGAATTTTGAGGAAGCTCTAAACAAAATATTATTTAGTTGTATATTCTTGCTTTAGATTCATTTTTTTATCAGAACAAATTCCTTACCATGATTAACTGTCTTAACAGGTTGTAAATCTCAAGGAAGCAAGGGACTTTTCAAGTGACAAGAAGTTCATATACGTGTTCAAAGTAAACAAAAGCACTTAACCTTTTCTTTTTTGGGTTGTTCATCATTTGTATATGCATATCTTAAAGCTACTGAAGAATAAAGAAAAAAGAGTGTTTGTGTGTTTTCTTCATGTTCCCATCGTTTTTTCTTTAAATTCTTTTCCTCTGAGCTATTAACTTATGTTTATTCTCTGGTTCCTTTTTCCTGTCTGTCTGTCTGAAAACAGTTCACTTGTTTATAAACATGTCTTAGGAATTTGTGGATAAATATCTATTTTTCTGTTAACAGAAACTTGAATGGGAACATTTGTCTGTTGACCTCCTGCCTCATCCGGATATGTTCACAGATGCAAACTTTTCAGATTCTCAACAAGGGTCTACCAAAAAAGATGAAGATGGTGCAAAGCGAGTATTTTTTGGCGGAGAACGGTTCATTGAAGGAATCTCGGGAGAGGCCTATGTATGAAATCTAGCCACTCAATTGATTTTGACAACTTTACCTACTGTTTCACTGTTCTGCTAGAAATCATTTTTGTGCTATGAAATATCATCTCAATGCGAGTGTCTCTTACTTATGAAATATTTACTATCTGTGAAATCCTATGGCTATATTCAGATTACAATTCAAAGAACAGAGCTAAATAGTCCCCTAGGGCTTGAAGTTCAATTGCATATTACAGAAGCTGTTTGCCCTGCTTTAAGTGAACCAGGCAAGTGTTAAGAGTTTAATGTTTTTTTTATGGCGCTTCTTATGGCATCCCTCGTTTAATATAATACATCAATGTTATCAGGATTACGAGCTCTTCTCCGTTTCTTTACGGGATTGTATGTATGTTTAAATAGAGGAGATGTGAATCCAAGTGCTCAGCAAGTATGCTTTCTTTCATTTTTATTTTTCTCCGCATATTTTACTATACTCTGATAATATTCTAAAATCACTCTCTATCAGTAACCGCTCCAGTAAATATCAACTACATTACCCTTTTCTTGGCAGCGATCTGCAGAAGCAGCTGGTCGTTCAGTAGTTTCTTTAACTGTGGATCACATATTTCTCTGCATAAAGGATGCTGGTTAGATTTTCCATCTTCACTGGACTGTATTTCTTTTCTATTTATTTCTATTTTTCTCTTTCCAATTAGGTCGGTTTGATAATTATCATGATGAGCATCTGTTGTCATGCTTAATTTTGTCCACGTTGGAACTGCTGGCTATTAACGATGGTATACTTATTGTTCAAAGTCATTATTGTTTCAAGTTTGGCTAACAAACGTGTTTGACTTGCAGAATTCCGGCTTGAACTTTTGATGCAATCGCTATTCTTCTCTCGGGTTTGCTCTATATTTAACATTTGAAACTTTCAGTGTTATGCAATACAAAAAAAAATTGTGCTCTCCTATAAGTTTTGTTAAGGTTTCATTTCTTCTTTCAGGGGAGTGTTTCTGATGGTGAAAACACAAAATATTTGACGCGGGTTATGATAGGTGGATTTTTTTTAAGGTAAGTCGATAATCTAAGGTTCGTTGAAAGTTACATCATGGAAAAATTCTTGGCTTTGTTTGTGGGGCTGGGGATATGCTAGAATTAGTATGAAGATGCCACACAGAAGTTATCTTTACATATTTTACCTGGATAGTTGTTTTCTCTTTTACTGGCTTCCAATTTTTCGTTTTGTGCTTCTCATCTACATGAAAAATGCAGGGACACATTTTCACGTGCTCCATGCACCTTAGTACAGCCATCAATGCAGGATGCTCCAGTTGATACAGCAAATGTTCCAATCTTTGGTATTACATGATTAATCTAAACTTGTTTGCATTTAAAATATTTATGGTGTTAAATATTATGAATTGTTTTTCATAGAATATATTTTCTTTTTTGGTTCTTATACAGCTACAAACTTCTGCCCTCCAATATATCCCCTGGGAGACCAACATGGGCAATTAAACTGCAGTGTGCCTCTGATTAGTCTCCATTGTCTCCAGCTATTGCCTTCTCCAAGCCCACCAACTTTTGCTTCCAGGACTGTTATTGATTGTCAGCCACTAATGGTTGTATTCATCAAATGTCTCTATTTCTTTTTACCTGATCCTACTAATGCGTACCTATTTCCCCCTTTTTTTAATCTCAGATTCATCTTCAGGAAGAATCCTGTCTGAGGATATCATCCTTTTTGGCTGATGGCCTTGTTGTTAATCCTGGCACTGTCCTCCTGCCAGATTTCTCAATCAATTCCCTTGTTTTTAATCTGAAAGGTTTAGATGCTACCATTCCAGTTGAAATAGGAAAACCAGACCAGTCATCTGGAGACAGGCCATTTGACAGTTCTTTTGCTGGGGCAAGGCTTCATATTGAAGAGTTGATGTTTTCTGAATCACCTTCCTTAAAACTAAGGTTACTTAACCTTGAAAGGGATCCTGCATGCTTCTGTCTTTGGGAAAACCAACCAGTTGATTCCAGCCAGAAGAAATTGACTGCTGGAGCTTCTTTAATTAGTTTGTCTTTGGAGACTAACTTAACTGGGAAGGACAGTTCCTCGGTGAAGTCAGGTTTATGGAAATGTGTTGAGATGAAAGACGTGTGTCTTGAGGTAGCTATGGTAACTGCAGATGGTAGCTCTTTAACGAATATTCCTCCTCCAGGAGGGGTGGTCAGAGTAGGGGTTGCTTGTCAACAATATATTTCAAACACTTCGGTGGAGCAACTATTCTTTGTTCTTGATCTTTATGCTTATTTTGGAAGGGTTAGTGAAAGGATAGCTCTAGTAGGGAAAAACAAAACCCTAGAGGAAACGAGAAATGATTCTATGGGTGGAAACATTATGGAAAGAGTTCCTGGTGATACAGCTGTATCTCTAGCAGTGAAGGATCTGCTGCTAAGATTCTTGGAATCTTCTTCCTCTTGCACCGGGGGTATACCTCTAGTTCGTTTTATCGGTGATGATCTATCCATCAAAGTCAGTCATAGAACTTTAGGTGGTGCAATAGCAATTTCGTCCAATTTACGGTGGGAGAGTGTCGAGGTGGACTGCACAGACACTGGGGATGACTTCAGACATGAACATGGTCCCGATTCGGCTCTTCTCGGAAATGGTCATCTGGATGGGAAAGAATGGGATCAGCTAAGAGCAGTCTTTTGGGTTCAAAATAGTATGATTTATCAATCAAAGATTAGTACCGTGGTTCCATTTCTGGACATATCCATGGCCCATGTGATTCCATATAGTGCACAAGATATCGAGTGTCACAGTTTAAATGTGTCGGCTTGTATATCTGGTATCCGGCTTGGTGGAGGAATGAATTATGCCGAATCTCTACTTCATAGGTTTGGGATTCTTGGCCCTGATGGTGGGCCGGGGGAGGGTCTTACGAGAGGATTAGAGCATTTGTCTGGTGGGCCTTTATCGAAGCTTTTTAAAGCATCACCCCTCATGATGGAAGGGCTTAAAGAGAGTACGATACTATCTATTTAGTTACTATCTTCTTTTTTTTTTCTTCTCTGATATTCATATTTTGATGTTTTTTATTTATACTTGTTCTTTTTCGCCTCTCTCTGTCTCTCCACCTAGATGGAACTTCGGAAAACGGAAATGACAGAAGCCTCTTGCATTTGGGCGCACCTGATGATGTGGACGTATCAATCGAGTTAAAAGATTGGTTATTTGCTCTTGAAGGTGCAGAGGAGATGGCAGATAGATTCCGCTTTCATGATTCTGAAGATTCTCATAGAGAAGAGAGGAGCTGGCATACGACTTTTCAGAGAGTACAGCTCAAGGCGAAAAGCAGCCCGAAGCGTGTAACTGTTCGTGACGTAAGATCAAGTGGGAAGCAGAAATATCCCATAGAATTGATTACTGTGAGAACTTGCTTCAACCTTTCACTTTAAGATATCAGTATTTATATTATGTGCTCAATTATTTACGTTTCTTAACTTCCTAGTAAGCCATGCTCATGAATCATGGATGATTTTTCTACCAGTAGCAATTATCAATAGTACAATGCCAGCCGAACGGAAGTTTTATACAGTTGCTTCATTCGATCTGAAAAAGATAAATAAAAAATTCATTAAGTGGAAGTATTTGATGGGAATAGGTAATGACTTAGGATAGTCATAGAACTGACTTTGTCGCTGTCATATTATGGGTTTCATCGTAGTTCGAGCAAATAAATACTCGTCTGTCAAATTACTGACATTTGCCACTGCTTTAACAACTCTGCAACATTAGCTTATCAAGTTCTGCCAAATGCTTTTTGCAGGTTGGCATGGAAGGCTTACAGATCTTAAAGCCAACAGCTCGCGCTGAAAACGGGCTCCTACAAAACGGTTCCCTCGAAACTAAAAAGCAAATCGTTGACAAAAGTGGGGGCATTAATGTGGCGGTTGACATTGTGACTTCTGGAGAAGATTTCGATGATACAACAGCCAAGTGGGTGGTGGAAAATTTGAAATTCTCCGTGGACAAGCCGGTAAATCGAGAGTTCCAATTAGTTGCTTGTATTATCACTTTCTGTTATATTGCTTTTACTTATAAAAACGCATTTATTTTGCTTCGTAGATCGAGGCTGTAGTGAAGAAAGACGAACTGCAATATCTTGCTCTCTTGTGCAAATCCGAGATCGACTCTCTAGGTAGAATGGCTGCTGGAGTTCTACGAATCCTCAAATTAGAAGGATCGGTTGGTTCAGCAGCAATTTCTCAACTAAGTAACTTAGGTAAAACTTATTTGTCCATATATTTAGACCTGACCACGGTTCGGTTCGGTTCGGTTCCGGTTCCGGTTCCGAACCGCCGGTTCCGATTTTGAAGGAACCGGAACCGAACCGAAAAAATCCGGTTCCTTGCGGTTCGGTTCCCGGTTAGAACCGGTAGAACCGCCGGTTCTTAATAATAATTTTTTTTATTATTATTATTATTATTATATATATATATATATATATATATATATATATATATATATATATATATATATATATATATATATATATATAGAGAGAGAGAGAGAGAGAGAGAGAGAGAGAGAGACGAAATTAATTTTTTTTTTAAAACCGGTTCAAACGGTTAGAACCGCGGTTCTAACCGTCGGTTCCCGGTTCCAAAAATGAGGAACCGGAACCGGTTTTTTCGGTTCCGGTTCCGGTTTCGGTCAAGCCGGTTCCGGTTCGGTTCTAAAACCGTTGACCCCGGTTCGGTTCCGGTTCTGGTTCCGGTTCTAACCGAACCGGTGGTCAGGTCTACATATATTCAACAAATTTAATATTATTCCATATTCGATAACATGACATATCATGTCAAAAATTGCAGGAAGTGAAAGTTTCGACAAGATATTCACCCCGGAAAAGTTAAGCAGAGATAATAGTGTTAGCGATGATATGGAATCAACGGTGGCTTCTCTGGAGAAAGCAGTTTTGGAATCACAGACGAAGTGTGCTGCTCTTGCAAATGGATTGAGTTGTCCAGAATCTTCCGACGAATACATTGATAATGTTAAACAGCTGAGTGAGAAACTCGAGAGCATGCAGAAATTAATCGGCCAATTAAGAACTCGATACTGAGAAGAAAAAAATCGGATTTTTTTTTTTTGTTGTAGAAGAACTGAAGAACTGTATTTATATATAGTGTGGAATCGGCATACAGTATTTTGGCAAATTTTTGTTGTATATAATATAAAACTTACAAAAACAACTTATGGTGTATCGACCATTTTTGTGGAGATGTAAAAATGCCTGTAAAGGCAATATATATGATAAGAAAATTTTGAATTCGATAAATGATGTAACCGTATTGTATTGAGTGAAAGCTCGGTTTCGTGTTTCGGTTTCGTTTTCTTGAATTTGATGATGATTTGAATAAGGATTTTCTCTCTCTCTCTCTCTCTCTCCCCTCTTTTTCTCTATATATCTTGGAAGGACTCTCTCTCTCTCTCTCTCTCTCTCTCACACACACACACCCACACACACACACACCTTATCTTAAGCAACAGCCAAAGCCACCTTATACTCCTGGTATAAAGCTGAGTTTTCTTATCTACACACAACATTTTAATGGCTTCCACTGCACAATTTCTCCATCATCCTATAAACCTCATCATACCTCGCCCAAATCAAATACCTCATAATAATCAATCATTACACGTTATTACTAATCACCGCATTTTACGCCTAAGCCACTTGACACTCAAATGCACCTCCAGTGCCACTAAACCCGAACCCGAGTTTCCAAATCCAGGCCCGAAGATCACAGCCATCCCGGAAAACTTCCCCATCGAAAGACGGAGAAAATCCGAGATAATCCGCGACAGAAAATCAAGAACGGGCCTCGTAAAGCCCGAACCGCCAAATTTAGAGATAGGGTGGAAGAGAACAAAGCCTATTCCATTGGAGCAGCCGAAAGGGTACGTGATTATGGATTTCTTGGAGAAGCTGGTGGAGCTGATGGAGAGGGAGTTTGGCTCAGCTGAGCTGCTGGCTAAAGCCGGAGAAATAGTGGCTGAGAGAGCCAGAGAGGAAGCTGAAGTGCTGAGAGATGAAGGGAAAGTTGACGACAGAATGGTGACGGAATTGTCGAGAGTTTTGAAGCTGATGGAAATGGATTTGGCTATGGTTAAAGCTGCTGTTAAAGACGAGACTTTGAGTGAGAGGCTGAAACAGGCTAAGGTCAGATGCAGACAGGCAATTCTTGTTGCTAGTTCGTTTTAAACGGAGTGTTGGAAATCGGAACTTTCAAAATTCGAAATGAAAAATATTGTTCCAAAATCCAAAAAAAGAAATTGGATCGAAATTTGCGAATTCGGAAAATTTTGTTGCGATTTTCACTCCTGCCATCATACTCATTATCGAATTGAAGACGAAAGGGAGAATTCTTGAAATAAATAATTTCCATTAAAGATGAATAAATATCCAGGTTACATGTTTAAAATACACCAAGATATTTGTTTTTTTCCTTTCACTACTTAGTTTTTGCTTCTACCACATCTAATAGCCCCACGGTTGATTCGAATTCCTTCTTTTTCTTCTTCTTCTTCTTTCGTTTTTTCTCGACCGATGCAGATCTGATGAATGTTTCTTCGGATGCTTTGATGACACAACGCACATGTGGATCATCTTGCCGAATCTTATTTAGTATTTTTGCTGCAGATTTTCTATCGCCTGCAGCCAAAAGAGCCTGATACATCCTGCACACATTTAACCAGTTCAACCAAAATTCAAAACGAAAAACGAAATAAAGAAAACACGAAATCATGGCCAATTAGTTCAACGCATCAGAACCTTAACAATCACTATGTATCTCCGATCAATTTTTTGATTCAATTTTCTTCTTTTTTTTTTTTTTTTTTTGGGGGGGGGGGGGGGGGGGGGGACACTTAAAAGTACTACAGTAGGCTCGAATTAACGAAACCTTATCCTTAAAATAACTACCATGGCGAATGAAACTTGATAGTAATAAAACAAAGAAACCAAGAAGTATAATACCTTACAAAACTTAAAACATTGTACGGAAGGCCAGCATTCTCGTATTCTTCCCAAATCACAATGGCAGTCTTTGCATCCTTTGCATAAACGCAAGCACTGAGGAGAAAATCAAGACTTTTACGTGAAGGGCGGACACCAATTTCTTCCTTGACAGCTTGAAGCAAATCGAGACCAAATTGCATGTCTGTTGACTCTTTCTCCGCAAATATACAAAATACCTAGTCCGCAATAAAGCTAACAAGAATTAGACCACATGCAATTGAGTTGCAAAGAGTTTATTGCAGAATCAAGAAACGAATATGATAGTGTCCGGAAATTAGTTACACTTTACATATATAGATGTTGTATTTATAATAATTTGTTGTCTAGTTGATTAGGGTATCAACTTGATGGATTTTTTTTTTTCATGAAAACCCTTCGTTTTATAAGCCTATACATATGTAGACTGTTCTCACTAGGAACAACTTTCATAAATCAATGTATTTAAAATTCTCACACAGCCAAGTGGATTGATTTATTTTTGTTACTTTTATTTTCTTTCATTTTACTTGTCCTACATCGAAATTACCAGAAATCAAGCAAGAGTTACGACATGCATAGTTCTAAACGTTAGGTCTTCCTAAATTGAAGGGGACAAACAAGGAACAGTACCTCATCGAACAGCACTTCCAGGGCAATTTCAGCATGGTTGAACTTATCCTTTAGTTGCTTGAGTAAATCGACCGCAGATCTAAAACAAATAAAATAAACTATAATAAATCATATTAAGAAAGAAAAAAAAATGTACTAATCAAATAAGTAATCAAACATTGGCAAACCTTAAATTCTCATGTCGAACACAGTGAGATATGATCCTGAAGCAGGCATCGGTCCAATAACGTGAGTCACTCAATTCCTCGAGTAACTGAAGCGATCGGTCAATTTCTCCTTCAGATTGAAAATGTTCCTGCCAGAATTAAGACGTGCTAGAAATAATTAGCTGATCGAAAATGTCGCCGATAGTCTCAAAGAGACAGCACTAAGCCACTAACTCACAATAAGACATCTAATGGCTTTGGGATCTAGACCGCATTCGGCTTTCTTGATCTCTTCGTAAATGTTAAGGGCTCCAGATAACTGCCCATTTGAAGCAAGAGCAGCAACCAGCACACTCTTGATTTCATTTAAGTTCTTTACTGGTATTCTTTCGTCCAAGACCACCTGCACAAAAATCAATAATTTATAAGGACAGGAGTAGCTGAAGTAAAGACTGGAAAAGGACGAATCCCTACCTTTTCAGCCTTTTCAAATTGCCCAAGCGATGCATATGCGTTTATAAGTGCCATGAAAACCTGCTTCGTGGGTGCAACTCCTGATTCACCCATGTCTTCATAAAACTAGCATATCCCAACATAGCAACAATCAGAGTGAAACTCTTGAGTAGAAATGAGGTTGTAAATCATTCGAATAGCAACATAAAATATTTTATTACCAATGATTCAAAGAAGAGCTTGTTCTCACTCGAGGATAAAAATGTAGACAGAACACAAACCAAGTCAAATGAGAGTTTTAGGGACCAAGTCCTTGAGTGTTTTAGGAAACTATTCAGCACTTTGAAACTAAACACACTGACCGAGTACTAGGTACAGCTTGCTCCACAACACACTTACGAGTTCTTTCTCTGGTAAAAGCTCAATATATGAAAATTCTATCCATGATATAGGAACAAAATGTAAATGCCGACTTCGGGAGAAGTACCAAGCATTTAATTTCAAACTCAAATTTTAAGCTTCATCCATCCAAACCAATATTTACATGAAACGAAAACCAATATGATGTGAATAGTAGTAAAGAGTGTCTATCAACAAGACGTCTAAATGAGAACCTTTATCATATCCTTCTCGCAGTGGCTGTTGGCTATGAGATAGCTGTAGGTCACAGAATCAGGTTTCACATCTGCATCTTCCATTTGTTTGAGAACATCCATAGCTCTATATTTGTTTTTCTGAAAGGATCAGTAACAGAGAGTCAGTCAATAACAGAACACATAATTAGAAACTGGAGCCAGCATTAACAGTTCCCTATGTCATATATAAGCAACCATCACCAATTTTTGTTTCCCATTCTTGAGAAAATCAGAGGCATAGAATAAGAAATTGCATACGAAATTGCGGAGCATTCAAGAAATTAAATCACCTCACGAAAATATCCGGACAGGATAATGTTGAACAAGCTTGTTGATGGTTTCAAGCCTTTTTTTTGGAGATCGTTGATCAATTCATATGCTCCTTCAAACTGCATTCAAATGAAACAATAAAAAACGCAGGATCTGTTAACATTAAGCTTTGATTCACCATTAACCCTAATTAGGAGAGTTGGTACCAGCTTGATCCTTAGGTCAAGTTCTAGGGTTCGTATCCTGCTTCTCCCATACTTCCTATTTATAACAGGATTTAAATTTAATTAAAAAAAATAAAGAGACTTACGTCTTTCATTTTCACATGTAGTATTATCATCTTCTTGAAGGTCTCGACTTTTGGTTCCAGATTGTGGTGAGATATTCTCGAATTGATCTGATTGACCTAGAGTTGAGAGAAATCATAACAATATCATCCAAAAATTAATGTTCTGGCTAAACAACTGAAATCCCATGAGATAACATGAAACAAATTTCAACTTATGAAAATCGTATCGTGAGAAGGGAATATATTCTTGATTAATGGTAAAGTAACAAAATATTCACTGAATGAACCAATATGCAGATCTCCTGGTAACTATTTGACTATCACTCCTGAGAAAGAAAACCCTACGCTTCGCGAAATAGTATTGAATAAACTATTTAGCTAAGGCAAGTCAAGAGGTGATCATTTTGATGTTTTCACACAAGCAAGCTATAGAGAACTTATGAACATTTGTTGAGGCAACTAGTCCAAATCTCCATGAAAATTAAACCCACTAGTCTCTGTTTGGATGATGGTAAGTTGAGGGATTTGTGCTTTAACTCAAATCAGTTACTTTTCTTCAACCACCAGCTAGTAGCCTAGTACAAGATTCTGCAGTACACAATATATGCAGGTTGATTGTAAAAACAAAGGCAACACTTAAACCATGTTCACTTATCTCAGTTTGGCAATCATAAATGACAGATGAATTTATATTTACCCCTAGCACAAGAGAAAATGAATTTCTGGATGATTCACTAATTGAAGCCTTCTCTTAAATTGTATTGGAAAGTGAAAAATGAAGCAGAACCAAGAATTACAGATAGAGAAAGTAAGTCGGCGTACCAGATTAAACTCGTAGCTCTGATCACAAGCATCTAATATTAAATGAAACGTCTCCAATGATAAAGTGATACCAAATTTAAACGCCTCGTCGACTACATTGAGTGCATCGTGTACCTAAAGAATATTTAGTAGGGTATAAGACTAGTGAAGCAAGTTGAACATAAATGAAATAGCCATACTGATATTGTATATTAGTAAGAAGTCCAACAACGAGCAACGTTGGGGTGAGCTTGGGAGTTCCTTTATTTATAGGAAAACATATTAACTGCATAATTTTGTAAATTGCACTTACCTTGAGGAATTCGCAACAATAGTTAACGAGCTTCTCATATTGTGCAGAAGTGGGCAACACCTCGAACTTGGAATGTAATGTTTGAAATTTCAAAATTACATCTTCAACCTTTTCTCACCCAACAGAAGGAAAATAACATGGGCAAACAAAGAGGAAATATCAATTAGGAAAAAGAGTATTCTGAGGCAATAATAGAATCTAAATACCATGGTAAACCTAAAATCTTTTAGCTATATCAGGTATGTAGTCAGTTCTTCGTTTCAACAAATAAAAAAATATGAACATTCAAGGGTGAAAAATACAGTTTTTAGACCAAAATGAGAATATAATCTGTCCCAGCCATGAATTATAATGATAACGTCGAACAGTTAACTGCTTTGCATTGTCTACTCCAATAATTGGATATGGACAGTATAACAGGAAGCAAGTAATATCATGAATAACAATCACCACACCGAATAAGGTGGTCCATCCACACAATATACGTAGTACCAGTATAAATGGTCTATGAATTAATCATGAAGATACAACCATATTCACCAATCTACTGCTACAGCGAACATAGAGACTTTTTCACATAAGCAAAGTTGTTCTGCTCCTCGTTCCCGTGAAAAGAGGAAGCATATATGCAATTGGAACATTATCTGGGTTATTAAAGTGCTCTAGACTTCTAGTTGAATAACATAGAATGTACTTTGAAGTTTGTCCTCCGGACAATTAAACTGCAGTAGCCAAGAACCATGACAACAGTACAATAAATAATATATTGTGATCTGAAAAACTTCAGCACATTTATGCTTCACAAAAGTGTCCAGTGCTGTAAGCAGAACTACCTCAAAAAATACAGACTAAGGACTTTTCCAGTAGCATACATGAGAAGTTCCTCACCGCTAAATTTGGTATGCTAATTGCATACTCGTAGATGAAATTTGAGATGTTATCAGCTCCAATATCTGCATATTGCCAAAATTAGCAGTGCACATTAGAGATATTTCAGCGGAGATCGGTAGCCTAACAGGCCATCTCAAGCCCCACACCACTTTTTTAATGAATTGGTTGTAGAGTTTCCTTCTTTTCAAAACCCAACCACAGTATACTAACCAGTTTTTTTCAGTGCCAGCAGATATCTCTCTGTGAAAGGTTCTAGCAAAAGCTTCCCCAGATATCTGAAGACACCCTCTAAAGACGCAACTGATGTAAATTTAGTTATATCCAGAGTTCTCAATACAATCATAAACTCTTCTTTGCGGCCACTTTCACACAATGCCATTAATATACATTCTGCAACATAATCGCAATACTAAATTAGAAACAACTATGTATCTATATAAGTCATGAGTAAGAACAGTTATCAAACAAATCGATATATGATACACCAGATCTTACAACTGTTTCCACCATATATCATTTGGGGTTTCAACTCTAAAATTAAAAAATGACACTTGTCAACCTAAGAAACTTAAAATGGCTTAAAGGAAAAACAACATACACGGGAAGCCACCAGAATTACCAAACAAATTGGGGTGAAACTTAAAGGACTTCTGTTATGAAACCTCATCAACAAAGTAAGAAACAACAAAAGATGAATTCATTTAAACGAAGGACAAGATCAGTAATTATGTACAGATAGTGGTCGTGCACATTGACACAGCTGAAGGACTACAGAGATATGTGAATGATAAGTTGTAATTAATATCTTGAAGGAAAACTCAACTACTGTTAACAAGTTTGCCTTCTCCAATGTAGAGTTAACTGGATGGTTGGTCAAATACAACTTAAATACTGCTTTACCTTAAAAAACTATGTACCCTTTCTGTGTTAGTATGACAGTGAAGATAATTGAATTGTCCTGCACTATACAGGGAACATATTAATCTCGAGATAGAACCATATTAAACAGTTGTCTATAAAGACATACAGCATCACCCCAGATTAACATGTCCAATCTACCCAGTTTTCCTGATTGACAATATGCAGCCCCCATGACAACTAGAAGTCACTGAATTGCGCAAAATAGGAAACACAAATAGCAAAGAATGAAAATAAACTAAAATATATAGCTTGTGAATCATAAAAACCAAGACTACCTCATAGCTAGATCCAAACGGAAACAAAAATATATCAAAAAACAATACCTTGAAAATGAGATTTATCTTCAGCATCATCAGCCACAGCAGAAAGGCAAAGTTCTTGAATTTTAACTTCGTTGTTGACTCTTATCCACAGTAGCATTTCGTAATAAGCTAAGCGTGGAAGTGAATCAGAATTGTCGGCTTTGATTATCTCATGGAAGAAAAAGAACTCTTCGACCATACCAAAATCAATTAGATACATCAGAAACTGTCCATATGTTTCTTCCTCGATTTTAAAACCTTTTTCCCTTAACGATATAAAAATTTGGTAGGCCCTATATATCTGCTCCGTCGAAACATCTTCATCTGTTGTACCCCTTGCCTTCTTTATGCAAATACTAATTAAGGAATTATATTCCTTCAACCCAGTTTCTTGTCCCAATTTACCAAATACTTCAACGGCAGCATCTGGTCCCAGCTTATCGGCACACACATTCACCATGCGGCCAAAACGATTAGTTTGTGTGCTCTTAAAAACCCACTTTTGCTTCCTATCTCGTGAGAATTCTTTCCTCCACTCTGCTATACTATTGTTTGTCATTTTTTCCAACCACGGCATGTCCAAAACACTTCCAATAACTTTAGTATCTCCTCTCTCTTCATCATCCCAAGGCAAGTCCATCTCATCTGCAGTTCAAGTTTGCCACAAGATCATGAAATGATCATATTCGTTATTATAGATAGTATTCGAATTCAATTCGAAAGGACAGAAAATATACAGTTCGACCGATAAAAACACATTTCCATATTTTCAGACAAAATCGGTCCATAAGTTGAGAAGAATGAAGAACACAATCACAATCTCATAATCTACATTTGCATATCCAGAACCGACATTCACGGAATACAACGTACCGTACAATAAACTGGATGCATGGGTCAACATTTGCTCTGCCGAATTATCTATGAAAAAAAGAAAGAACAACAAACACAACAGAAAGGACAACCAGTAAGCATACAAATTGAAATAGCACCGAGCAAAATTCTTCAATGCTATGTGAAAATTCAGTAATTTATCAATTGTACCGTCGTCCTCGGAATCAACGCCGTCCGTACAGATAGCATGGAGAGAGGGTTTAGGAGGATTGGAGATAGTCGAAGAAGACGGCGGCGGCGCCTTGAAGGTTTTGAGAAGGTGTTTGGCATTTTTGTTAACCGCGGCGGAGGGTTTGATGGCGGACACATACTGTTTTAGGTCGGCGTCGGCTGATGAGGGGGGAAAATCCTTCTTCTTCGAAACAGCGGCGGCGGCGGAGGAGGAGGAGGAGGAGCGCTTCTTCCTGGCGGCGGAGGTAACGGAGCGTTGAGAGGTGAGTCTAGCGGCGGAGCGGAAGAGAGAGACTAGGTTTCGGGCCGTTGAAGGGGGCATAAGGACACGTGGCAGGGCGTCGGAGAGAAATGGCGGGCGGGGCGGGCGGGTAAACGGGTTGAGAAATATTTTAATCGGGTTTTGGATCTTCTGTTTCCCTCTCTTCTATGATTCTTTTTTGTCGAACAAGAAACCATCGGGTAATTTGATGAACCGGATTGGCCGGTCGGACCGGTGACCCGTTTTTGTGATTGGAAATAAAGCTGTTTTGGGAAAGGCATTTGGGCAGAAGCCCTTTTTAGTAAAAGTCCTCTGATTTTGTAATGTTCAAAAAACAAAATTATTATCTAATTTTAATTTATGATTTATTATTTGTTAAATATAAAATTATTAAAGTCCCGTTTAATATTATTATCACAATTCACAACTACACATATTTACCACCCAAAAAAACGTTACTGCTTATAAAGACGTGGTCGGATCGAACACAATTTCAATAATATTTATTTATTTACTGCACGATTTTGAGGAATTGTACAGTGGGATATTGTGACCCGACAATTTAGCTTGTTGGTAGAGATATGTTTGTTCACACACATTCAATTGTTAGAGATCGAATTTGTTTGGGCACTTCCTAACCCAAACTAGGACATCTGTATTCATAAACAATCGAATACGTATTTGAAAAGGGTAAAAACAGAATAGATGTCCCATTTTCCTCGAAGGAGTTTTCGATAGCGCTGTTGATTGCGCAACGATGTTGTATGCATGATGGTGTTTTAGTATATATATATCTCATCGGATGTAACATCTATAAGATGTATAATTGACCGGTCAACGTCAGCCAAAATACCACAAGAAATGTGAAGACAAAGTTAAAATTAAGAAAAAAGATTCCATCAGAATCACTAATAATTTGCTGATTATCATCTTCTATTTGGGCACAAATATTTGGACAATAGCTTCGAAAGAAACTGTTCTCATTTTTATTTTTTATTTTTTGGTTATGCAAAAAAGGATCAAACCTCAAAAAAACATTTAAAAACACAATCATGGGGGTCATGGCCCCCATTCAGTATTTTATATAGAAATTTATTTTCGAGTACTGTAGAGCACTTTTAATGTATTTTTAGCCCCGCGATTTCGAAATCTTGGCTCCGCCACAGATTAAGACAACCTAAGACATAGTAACAATGCAAATGCCGAACAAAGCTGCTCTCTCTCTCTCTCTCTCTCTCTCTCTCTCTCTCTCTCTCTCTCTATATATATATATATATATATATATATATATATATATATATATATATATATATATATATATATATATATATATAAAACAGTTGGAATTGTTCAAACAAAGAAGCAACAACAGCTAGTGATAACAAACACAGCCGGCTGGTAATACTCAAAACATTGGATCCCTTTCTTGATATATAACAATTGCAGAACTAAGATCCGACAAAATCAATAAACTTCTATATAAAACATCGAACCAGAGTTAGTTGCATATACCCATTCCCACCTTCAAGAAGTAGTCGAAAAAATCCCTCTTGAGAGGGGCAAAATGGGCAACAAAGATGGCATTTTTCGATACGCCGATAGAACAGACAAGTTGCTTATGTTTTTCGGGACTTTGGGTAGCATCGGAGATGGATTGCAAATCCCTCTAATGATGTTTGTCCTAAGTGGTGTGATAAACGAGTATGGAGACCTTAACACAAAAGTCTCGATGAGTACGGTCAACACGGTAAAAATGATAACTACTATACGCAATAATATGTCCGGTTTCGATGATTTTTATTTATTTTTTTCGTTTTTCGTGTGACAGTATGCGCTTAAACTACTCTACGTTGCAATTCTAGTGGGACTGTCTGCTTTTATCGGTACGTGACGTAAAATATATGAGATTGTTAAAAAGTAAATAGAAAAGGATGGAACTATTTTTCGTATACCTGATTTCGAGAGGCGAAAATTTGATTCGTGTGGTTTTACAGAAGGATTGTGTTGGGCAAGAACAGCAGAGAGACAGAGTTCTAGGATGAGATTGGAGTACCTTAAATCTGTCCTTAAACAAGAAGTGGGATTCTTCGACTCTCAGACAGCAGATTCTTCGACTACGTATCAGATTGTGTCGACAATATCGTCGGATTCCAGCACAATCCAAGTCACCATAGGAGAGAAGGTATTTTATTATTTACTCCCACGAGCCAGTTTCCAAAATTTCCGATTTTACGGTTTTTTTTTTCTTTTTCGAAAGTATATGATCCTAGTTGGAGTTATTATATAAAATTTTCGGAAATTCCAATTCCGATCCATCTTTAATTTTAGGAAAATAATTCAATTTTTTTACATTATATATCATACACAAGCTGATAAATTGGCTTTTAAACTCATATTCGAGGTTATTTTAAATATATTTAAACTACATCCCCCCACCCCAAAGAAAACGAAAAATATTTCAAGATTCCGAGATCCCCGAAGCTTTTCAAATCGAAATTGATTTTAGATTCTAAATTTTTTGGATCTGGAACTGAAATTTCATGTTTCAATTCCAGATCAATATTTCATATCCTATCCATCCGATTTCCACCCCTAAAAAGAATGCAACGAACAATAAACATTTATTTCTAAATTCACGCAATGATAAGAAAATTTCATGTCCATATTTATGAATTACGAACAATATATATATATATTTCGACCACCCCAAAGAAAACGAAAAATATTTCAAGATTCCAAGATCCCCGAAACTTTTCAAATCGAAATTGATTTTAAATTCTAAAATTGAGTTGAAATTCATGTTTCAATTCCAGATCAACATTTCATATCCTATCCATCCGATTTCCACCCCTAAAAAGAATGCAATGAACAATAAACATTTAATTCTAAATTCACACGATGATAAGAAAATTTCATGTCTATATTTATGAATTACGAGCAATTTATGTAAATATATTTCGACAGATACCTGACTGCGTCGCCTACATGTCATCCTTCTTCTTCTGCCTCGTATTCGCATTTTCGCTATCATGGAAGCTCACTTTGGCCGCCATACCCTTCACGCTGATGTTCATCGTACCGGCACTTGCATTCGGCAAAATGATGATGGATGTGGCAATTAAGACAATCGAGTCTTACGCAGTCGCAGGTGGAATAGCAGAACAGGCTGTTTCCTCAATCAGGACGGTGTACTCGTATGTTGCTGAAAATCAGACATACGAAAATTTCAGCAGAGCCCTTCAGACAACAATGGAGCTCGGGATAAGACAAGGTTTTGCACGAGGTTTGATGATGGGGAGTATGGGAGTTATTTATGTCAGCTGGGGTTTTCAGGCTTTTGTGGGTTCGCTTCTTGTTAGTAAACATGGAGAAAAAGGTGGCGATGTGTTTGTGGCTGGATTCAATGTGCTCATGGGAGGATTGTAAGTTCTTTATTCCGTCTATTCGGAAAATTCCCAAATTTTTTTGGAAGTGAAAAACTAATTCCAATTCATTTCCAAAACAAAATCGAAAAATTGGATTTCAGAAATTGGATTTCGGAAATTGGAATGGAAAAACTTGTCCAAAATCAGAAATTTTCGGTTCGGAATTGCCGTTATTCGAAATTTCTAATTTTTAAGTTGCTTACGATTTAAAAAAATCAAAATTTTCGATAATATTTTCAGAAAATCAGAAATTGGTGGAAAAACTTGTTCCAAAATCGGAATTTTTTGGATCGAAATCGGCGGGATTCAGGATTTCTAATTGTTTATATTAATATTAAATACTTGATAATATTAATATTACAATTGTAATTTCGAAAAACAAAATCAGATTTTTGGAAATATTTTTGGAAATTAAAATCTGATTGGAAATTTGAATCTAATATATGTATTCCAATTCCGTCCCAAAAAAGATCGAAAAAAATCGGAAATCGGCACTTTCAGAATTCGGAATGAAAAATATTATTCCAAAATTGGAAATATTCGGATTATATGAATTCCAATCCCGTCCCTACAAAAAATCGAAAAAATCGGAAATTGGAACTTTCGGGATTCAGAATGAAAAATACTGTTCCAAAATCGGAATATTCTGATCAGAATCAGCAAAATTCCGATCCAATTTCCACCCCTATTCTCAACACATATTGTACTAGGGGTGTGAACGGGCCGAGCTCGCCTGTTTTGGCAGGCTCGAGTTCATTTTGTCGAGCTCGAGCTCGAAAAACTCGAGGTCGAGTTCGAGCTTTTTCGAGCCGGCTCATCGAGCTCACGAGCGGCTCAGCTCGTTTACCACCCCTATATTGTACTGAAAACACACACACACACACACACACACACACACACACACACTCTCTGTCTGAAATCTTATGTCCGGAAAAACTTACTGTTTTTCGTCTTTGCAGAAATATTTTGACTGCTCTCCCGAATCTAACAGCAATCACCGAAGCGAAATCAGCTGCAGTTCGGATAACAGAGATGATCGATCGTAAACCAGCCATCGATTCCGACGATAGAAAAGGAAAAGCTCTATCGCACGTGAGAGGCGAAATTCAATTCAAAGGTGTTTACTTCAACTACCCTTCAAGACCCGATACGCCAATCCTACAAGGATTGGATCTCACGGTGCCAGCTGGCAGAACCGTGGGCCTCGTTGGAGGCAGCGGGTCCGGAAAATCCACAATTGTTTCGTTGCTTCAAAGATTCTACGACCCTATAGAAGGCGAAATTTTACTCGACGGTTACAAAATAAATAGGCTCCATCTCAAGTGGTTAAGATCACAAATGGGATTGGTTAATCAAGAACCGGTCCTCTTTGCAACGTCTATTAAAGAAAATATATTGTTTGGGAAGGAAGGGGCTTCGATGGAGGATGTGGAGAAAGCAGCTAAGGCAGCAAATGCACATGATTTCATTGTTAAACTAACGGATGCATACGAAACTCAAGTAAGATTTCCTTTTAATTCATCGGAATCTGTATTTAAGAGTTTATTGCATTTAGTACCCCCTGTGTTATACCGAATTGCTAAAAAACTCCCCTTATTGGAACTTTTAGCGCACAACCCCCTAAATGGTGCGCCTTTAGAGGGTAATTTGCTACTCCCTCCGTTTCACAATAAGTTTCTTTTAAGGTAAACGCACACGGATTAAGAAACCTAACAAATAACCTCCTTTTTAATGGAAAAGACCTAATTGCCCCTCACAAACTTTGAAAAAAAGATAAATTAGTGGAACGAATTAACGAAATGATATAGAGCAAAATTGGTAAAAGAATGATTAATTTTGTCTGGAAACTCGAAAGTGACACTTAATATCGCCAAAGCGACACTTAATTTGAAACGGAGGGAGTAACAAAATTATGGGGGGGTTTTACTAATAATTATTACACTGAGAGTTTTTTAGCAATTTAGACTAGAATAGAGGGGTGTTGAATGCAATAAACACATATCTTTAATAACTTTATGATTTTATAGATACACTAACCTGTGAAATTCGGAAAAAAATCTCAAGGTTGGACAATTCGGAGTTCAATTATCCGGGGGGCAAAAGCAGCGAATAGCCATAGCGAGAGCTCTGATAAGGGATCCGAAGATATTGCTACTCGACGAAGCCACGAGCGCACTCGATACAGAATCCGAGCGAGTAGTACAGAAGGCTATAGACGAGGCTTCCAAGGGAAGAACCACCATTGTCATAGCCCACCGCCTCTCCACCATCAAAACGGCTAACCTGATCGTAGTCCTCAAATCTGGTCAAGTGGTCGAATCGGGCTCGCACGACGAGCTCATGCAAATCAACGGTGGAGATTACCTCAAAATGGTCGAGCTCCAACAATCATCAGCACCACCGCAGAGTAACGGAAACTCAACCAATACCACTCCTAGGAATAACGGAAGAAATCAACATAGGATGTCAAGCCCACGAACGCCAGCTCTGCACCCTTTCAGCCCAGCATTTTCAAGGAGTGGGCCCTTTTCAGCTCCTTACTCAATTCAATACGAGCCTACATATGAAAGTGACGATGAAGATACAGTAAATAAACAAAATTACGAGGCTCCATCACAATGGCGGTTGCTCAAAATGAACAAACCCGAGCATGGGAGAGCTTTACTTGGATGCTTAGGTGCAATAGGCTCGGGAGCCGTTCAACCAATCAACGCCTACTGCGTGGGGGCACTAATATCGGTCTACTTCAGAACGGATACATCTTCGATTCCATCGCACGCCAGAGGATATTCTCTCGTATTCGTCGGCCTAGGAGTATTCAACTTCTTCACCAACCTTCTCCAGCACTACAGTTTCGCGATCATGGGAGAGAGACTAACCAAAAGGGTCCGGGAGATGCTTCTTCAGAAAATAATGACCTTCGAGATCGGATGGTTCGATCAAGACTCAAACACGAGTGCAGCAATTTCTGCACGGCTGTCAACGGAGGCAAATATGGTTCGATCACTCGTCGGGGACCGCATGTCCCTCTTGGCTCAGGCGATTTTCGGAGCCACGTTCGCGTACGTGCTAGGACTCTATTTATCGTGGAAGCTAGCTCTCGTGATGATGGCGGCTCAGCCTTTACTCATCGGGAGCTTCTACATGAGGAGCGTTTTGATCAAGAGCATGTCTGCAAAAGCCCAACAAGCACAAAAGGAAGGAAGCCAACTCGCAAGTGAAGCAGTGATCAACCACAGAACCATCACAGCCTTTTCTTCTCAAAAACGGATCGTGGGCCTTTTTAGAGACACGTTAGAAGGGCCGAGGAAAGAGAGCATTCGACAGTCTTGGTTTGCGGGGGCCGGTTTATTCAGCTCGCAATTTCTCGCGGCAGCTTCAACTTCTCTAGCTTACTGGTACGGTGGAAAGCTGTTATCACAGGGGAAGATATCCCCCGAAAATCTTTTCCAAGCATTTCTGGCACTTCTATTCACCGCATACACCATTGCTGAAGCTGGGAGTATGACCAACGACATATCCAGAGGAAGCAGCGCCGTCGGATCGGTTTTCTCGATCCTCGATCGGACTAGCGAGATCGATCCGGAGGTCTCGTGGCGAAACGGCGAAATTAGGAGAGGTGTTAGGGGCAGAGTTGAACTGAAAAACGTGGTTTTCGCCTATCCGTCGAGGCCAGAGCAGATGATCTTGAAAGGGCTCAGCCTGAAAATTTCTGCGGGGACAACTGTGGCTTTAGTGGGGCAGAGCGGCTCCGGAAAATCGACAATCGTTTCTCTTATCGAGAGATTTTACGATCCGATCAATGGGTCGGTGCTCATTGATGAGAAGGATGTTAGAGATTACAACTTGAGAGCATTGAGATCACACATTGGCTTAGTCAGCCAAGAGCCTACCCTCTTTGCAGGAACCATCTATGAAAACATTGCCTACGGGAGAAAGGATGCCAGAGAATCCGAGATACGAAAAGCTGCAATTCTCGCAAATGCACATGAATTTATAAGGTACGGAATAAATATTTCTACAACTCGTTTCCCAATTTTCTTGAAAATCATTACAAGCTAAGAATATATATATGTATGTATTTTACATATATATGGCAGTGGTATGAAAGAAGGATATGAAACTTACTGTGGAGAAAGAGGAGTGCAGCTCTCTGGTGGGCAGAAGCAGAGAATAGCATTAGCTCGAGCCATATTGAAGGACCCTGCGATTCTTCTGCTCGATGAAGCAACCAGTGCTTTAGATAGTGTTTCGGAGAGCTTGGTTCAAGAAGCACTTGAGAAGATGATGGTCGGTCGAACGTGCATCGTTGTGGCTCATCGATTGTCCACTATACAAAAATCGAACGCCATTGCTGTGATTAAAGATGGGAGAGTTGTCGAACAAGGTTCGCATTCTGATCTACTGGCTATGGGGAATCGGAGCACTTACTTTTCGCTGGTTAAATCACAGCACAGGGTGTAGACTGTAAACTGCAAACTTTAGTTATTGATCGAGATTAGGACAAAATCGAAGAGTTTGATATCAACCATGATTTCCAAACTACAGGATAGTACTATGTAAATTGTATCTTTCTTTATGAGTGTAAGATGTGTTTGTGAACCAAGAAGAGTTATATCTGTCACTTTAACTTACATAAATAGTACTACAGAGGGAAAATGAAATCATTTACAGCAAAAATATCATCAAGAAAGTGAAAACATCTACGAAGACCACCCTCACCAAATGGAGCGCCGGATATTGTGGATTGAACTTTAACTCACTCGCCGGGGGAGTTCACCGCCGACAACCAAGCTTCCCCTCTTTTTGTATCAATCTTAGGAGAGGTAGGTGTAATTTACCCAAACAACAAAATATATTTAGGTGTGATTGATGGTGGTTGATCCATTTTATGTATTTAATGTAATTTAAAAAATAAAGTATCATTTCTGTATGATGTGTCCCACTAAAGAGAGAGGATACAACTACTTGAACTTGATACAAAATACACTTGAACTTGAATTTTATAATAAAATTGAGTAAAATACGAGACGTGTATTTAAAAGAGTAGTAAAAACTGAGAAAATCTTACTTATTATAAAAACTGCGCAAATTAATGAGAAGAAAATTATAAGAGGACCTAGGCCGGAAGGTTCAATTTTTACAAGTCTGCAACAAGCTACGCAGTAGTAATTTTTCTCGAAAAATGTTCCACATCAAATTACTGGCTAGAGGTAACTAAACCAGAGGAGAGAGAAATCACAACGACAATAGATTTTATGGACTTAAAAGCAAAGAAAGCACGCTACTCATCATCTTTATAGGGGTACTCCTCAGGTACTTGCTTCAGAAGTTTCACTTGCAACTCAAATACATCGTCCCCTCTAAGCATGTCACGCAGCCATGCCACCTCAGTTTTCATCGACACCTAAATAAAGGGAAGAGAGTATAGTTGTAACTGCATGGACAAACTTCAAGATTTTCACTAGTTCATTTCAAGAAATTATCGAATATTATCAAAAGGCATAGCTTAATTCCTTAAACGGTTAAAAGAGTTAAATAACACTCAGAGCGAAAGGGGTCGTAAGTTCCAGGGAAAAGTTAAAAAAGACAAGCACTTAAAACTACGAGGGTGGGTGTAATTCACTGTAAGATCCTGTAGCTGTAAAGGGTGTTTGAGAAAAAAGAGCTTGTTAGTTTTTCAGCTAATGAAATTAACAGAATTAGGTTAGTATGTATTTGTTTTGTACAACAAACTTCAGAGTTTTGAAGGTAGTTAGACGTAAAGATAACCGTTGTCATCAAAACTAATGGAGCTTATTGGATCTTACACAATATATATACATATATACCAATCTCCGTATCTTAAGGAGCTGATAAACTCGTAAAATCCTATTTTGGAAACAATACATATATCTAAACTTTTCAGCAAATATTCTGAATTATTTTATCTGAATATAAAATGTTTTGACGTTAAAATTGTAGACACGGTGGAGAAACAACTCACAATAATGTGCTCAAGGTTCCTACCACTATCTCAGTCAAACTTCAAAAGATCAAAACCTAGTAGAATTTCCCATCCAAACGCAAACACTACATCGATAAAGTACATGAAGTTTATAGAGGGGAGAAAGCTTACCATCTCAAGAGCTCCTCTAACAACTCCACTTAAAATGTTGCAATAGTGAAGACCTTGACAATTATCGGGAAGCTCAACAAAGTCGACCAAAGGATTATCCTCCAAAATCAGACTGCAGGTTGTCCCTTCACTGTCCCAGTTGGTGACAGATGCAGTTACCCCTAGAAACATTTTGAATCCAACCTGTTCATGCGAATTTAATAATCGATATAACAACCAACATATATTTCAATAACCGGTACACAGAAAAGTAAAGCACCGTGAGTTCACTACGAGAGCTTCAACGAAATTCGTGAGACAATAATTCTGACATTGCAACTCATACGCCGTAGGATGAAATAATATATTTACGAGACTACCAGTTAAATCGGATCATAAATTTACAAAAATCACAAATTCCGGGGTTTTTTTTTCTGACATTGCTACTCATACGCCGTTGTGAGTTTTGCTATAAATTAAAGTAATTTTTAATTCAATATAACAGTTAACTCGCAGTTGAGGGGAAACACTACTAGACTAACAGCCAAATCAGTCGATAAATCTACACACATTTCGTTCTATTTTTTCGACTATCATTTAGCTTTCCCAATTAATCATAGTGGCGATGATGGGAAAAAAAAAAAGAAAATTGATGATACAGAATAACAACACTCCAAACTTCACAAAATTTCAAATTCCTTCTATTTAATACTAAAATCGTTAGCCATGACTGCGAGGAAATAGTACGATTCGATACCTTAGCAATGACTTCAGTTGTTTCTCTGAAATCGACACATCTCGTCACATTCGATTTTGCCAGAAATTCATCAACAAGACGAACACCCATGTTATAACCCCTGCAATTAAACAACACCATCCATTGCTCAGAAAAATTCAGCACCAAACTTAATAATTGTAGTTACTTTATATGAATATTCGAAAATCATTGAAGAGAATAGGAAAAAAAACGAAAAAAAAAATATTACATTTGATCGAGCTGTTTGTTGACCTCCTCCACCTCCTCGAGATCGGTGAGCAGCTGGCGCACGATAGCGCCGTACGTCAAAGTAAACAGCTCTGCATTCTGCTAGGGTATAATCATAAATTTAATTTTGAAACGAATTAATCAGCTTAAATTTTCATGATCAAGTAGAAATTAGAAACAAATCGAGAAAAAAAAAAAGAAAAAAAATGAAATAAGAACAGCGGTAATTAGAAAACTTGCCACGCGATCGACGCTGGCGAAAATCGCATCGCCGGACTTGGGAGCGGCGGGAGCCATTGCAGATGGGAAGAGAGAGCTTGGATCTTCGAATTAACAATGTGAGTGAGAGATTTTTCAGCTAAAAAAAATGCAGTTAATTAAAATTAGATTATATTATAAGGGTTAATTCCACTTTGACCCCTCCTAGATAGTGAAATTGCAGACTCATCCCTCTTAGTTAAAAAATTGCTCGTATCCTCCCTGTTAAATGCCTCCGCTTACAATATCTAATATAGCATTTGAAAAGTCATGTTTACCTTCATTTATACAATTTCTTTTAATTAAAAAGTTAGAAAATAGAGAAATTTCAGGCATATTTACGATGACAATTTTATAACGACCAGAGTTTACTATGAAATTGCCATTCTTTAAAAAAAAAATAGATATTATTTCAAGCCACAATCACAGTTTATAAATTTGACACCCTTTATATATTTATTTTACTATTTTGACACATTTGTAAGAAACAAACTGTAGGGGTATTTCAGTCCGTCAAACAGCCGGAATAGTCAGCTTCGATCAAAAGGGTAAAATAAAAAATTCACTCAGTTATTTTATGACATCATCAATTTCGATTCAAAACTTGGACGAAGAGATCAACGAAGTAAGCAGAAAGATCAGAGAGGTACGGGCATATTTTTAACTAAGAAGGGGTGAATCTACAATTTCATTATCTAAGAGGGGTCAAGGTGAAATTAACCCTATATTTTATAAAATATCAATCGACTCGCTTGGGCCTTATTTAATATACAATGTAACTGGACTATGTTGAGATGGCACACACTTCTAGGCCTTAAAATGTTGGGCCCATCGGGTCAGGACTGAATATTGCCAGGTTCAAACTTGTAAATAAGATGAAATTCAGGGGCTATCATAGTAATTACGAAAAGTCTACATTTAATAATGATAACAACTCGTGGGTGGAAATCAACGGCTATAAAACAAAGAATGGGAATATCATGCAATTGAATATTGGTGCACCTAAACTTGTTCAACCTACGCAATTATTTCTCTTGGGGACCCCTTCCGCCATATCTCAAACGCTATTGTCGCGCGTGACAACCAACCATGATTTCTTTTGTTAATATGACTATGTAAATGTCATGGTTACGTAATTATAAAACTAACTCAAAATACTACAAATTCTATTTTAGGGGTTCTGCAAAATTTTGAATTAAAAATGATCAAAATCACGTTTGAAGTCATAACGCTATTATTAAAGTTCGAACGACATTTAACACATCCCTTATAATATCTACTTTTCTAAGATTATTTGTTTTCCTTTTTTTTTTTTTTTTTTTAATTTTCAATGTATTTGATGCATGTCACTCTAGTTGATAAGCTCAAGAGTCGAGTTAAGGATTTGACCGAAATGCAAAAGCTGTTGCACACGAGTTTTAATTGACCGTACGGGGACTGCATATATTCGCGCTACTTACGAAACACACTTAAAATGCTATGTGAAATGTTGGAGAATCTTCAACGATTACATTGTTCTAACATAAAGACATATATTAATTGTTGATACTGAACTCGATGCTACAAAATAATTAAGTAGTCTAGAATGATGAATTGTTTCAGATGAATGCTTGGGAATGTTTACCAATTTTCTTGGTGTGTAATTTGTTGAAACTCTTTTATACGGAAAGAGTGAAGACTAACTTTGAGCATCTATCACTTAAGTATTCTAATAAGGCCTAAATACATTTGACGAGTTACTCTAACCTGCTGTGAACATCTAAATTCAATAATAATAATTAGCCAAGCACACATTGTCCATCCCATATTCTACATTATTTAATATAGACGTTATTGTTGTATTTTTGGATCACTAGATAAATTTGAATTACCTTTAAGAGATTATAAATTTTAAACTTCAATAACATTATAATAATTACATATTTAACTTCTTACTTTTAAACATTTTAGTAAAACACAAGTGTGTATTTCTTGTTTTAATTAAACTAAATGCTAATCTCATCTTAATTTACTGAGATAGATTAAAGTAGTTTATGTTAAATTTCCCTAATTTTATTGACATATAAAAAAATAAAAATAAAAATAAAAATTGTT